TACGAGCGCCCCTGCACCTTCTCTAGACACACAAACTTCCTCCGCTATCGACCAGGAGATGCGAGACGCCCCTGCTTCACCCACTAAGATTTCGAGAGAGCGCGATGCAGAGCCCGACGATGAACCTTCTGCAAAGCGCACGAAAGTCGACATTGAGGGCTTGGACGATTTCAAGGTGCCAGAAATACCGACCTCCAGTACGGAAGGACAGGCACGCACGGGAATTAATGGCGACTCTACCATAACAAAAGTGCAACACAGGTTTCTTGTCAAAGCGATCCAAAGCTTGAAGCGCGGACACGATGCCCGGTTCTACAAAGAGCCCGTCGACCCCGTCAAATTGAATATCCCGACTTATTTCCAAGTTATCCAGAAACCCATGGACCTTGGCACAATCGAACAGAAGTTGAAGAGCAATGCATATCAGGAACCGCAGAACGTTGTGGATGATTTCAACCTCATGATCACTAACGCGCAAAAGTTCAACGGCCCTGACCATGTGGTCTCCACCGAGGGCCAAAAGCTCAAATCCACATTCGAGAAGCAGATGGTCAACCTGCCCAAAGCTGATGAGGTCGAAGAAAAGAAGCCGAAGAAGTTTACCCCAAAAACGTCTGCGGCTCGCAGAGAACCCCGTACCTCAATTGGACAGACCACAGCGCGGCCAACAGGTGGTTCACCACAGGCTACAACCTTTGCCCTAGGACCGGAAGGATTGCCACTTATTCGACGAGACTCTACAAACGTCGATGGTCGCCCTAAGCGCTCCATTCACCCCCCTAAAAGAGATCTCCCTTACTCGACGAAGCCCAAGAAGAAGAAATTCCAGTGGGAGCTCAAGTTCTGCCAGGAAGTTCTCGATGAATTACACAAACCTAAGCATTACTTGTATGCTGCGCCGTTCTACTTTCCTGTTGACCCCGTCGCCTTGAATATTCCCACGTACCACAGCATCATCAAGAAGCCGATGGACCTCTCCACCATTAGCTCTAAACTGCAAACCGGCCAATACGAAAATGCAAAGGAGTTTGAAACCGATGTCCGCCAGATCCTCAAAAACTGTTTCAAATTCAATCTCAAAGGCGATCCCACGTACATGGCTGGTGAAAAGTTCGAAGAAGTCTTCAACAATAAATGGTCGCAAAAGGAGCGGTATTTAGCGGCGCACGAACCCCACCCTGAACAACATAGTGCAGAGTCCTCAGAAGAAGAGAGTGAAGAAGACGAAGAAGCGAGTGATGATGAGGAAGAAGAGGCGATCAACAGGCTTAAGAAGCAGATTGCAGACATGTCTCAACAACTTGAGGCCATGACTCAGAAGAAGAAGAAAACCCCGCCCAAGAAGACTAAGTCAAAGAAGAAGGGTGATACCAAAAAGAGTGGACTTACAGGCGCTGGCAAAAGAGACAAGAAAGGTGCCAGCAAGCCAACCAAATCTGAGAAGCCACGTTATGTCTCGTACCATGATAAGCAAGTCATTTCCAACGGAATTAGCAGTCTTCCCGACAAGAAGATGCAAGAGGCACTCAAGATCATTCAGAGTAATGTCCCCGCTCTTAAGGTATGTTTTTTTATGGATTATTTAGCTATTGCGCTTCATGATATTAATTGTTATGCAGGGTACCCAAGAGACTGAAATTGAGCTCGACATTGACGAACTTCCTAATGATGTTCTTTGGATGCTGCTCAAATTCGTGAAGAAGAATGCACCTCAAGTTGTTGACGACGATGATGCGTCTTCTCCAGTCGCGTCAAATGCTGCCGCACCCCCCAAACCGAAGAAGAATAAACCTATGAGCAAATATGAACAGGAAGCCCAGATTAACATGTTGGAAAGCAACCTTTCGCGTTTCCAGGGCGGAGGTAGCGGCCGCTCTCCGGACCCAGTCCTTTCAGTTGAAGCCAATGACAGCAGTGGTGACTCCGAGGACGACTCTGAGGAAAGTGAGGAGGAGTAAATCTTCGGTGATTCGATGCATAGCAATTATTGTTTGACGAATATTTGCAGCCCCAGGCTTACAACTCCTCTACCCTTTCTCATATTGAGCCCCCCAACACTTCTTGCCGTTCCACATTCCACAAACTCTCATCTTTGGCTTTCGAAATTTATCAGATTTCATCCAAAAAAACGAGTATCTTGCCGACCAGTTCGCCTCGCCTTCCCGATCTATTACATCCGTCCTCCCTTCATACAACCTAGGATCTGATTCAGATATCAGACGTTGAATTTCTTGTACATAAGCGTTTCCTATCTTCAGCGCGTTCGAGGGGTTTGCTCGGGCTTATTTCATTTTCTGGGATTCGTTTTTATGGTACTTCGATGCAGCACGGTGTTGGGCAAGGATTTCCTTTTTACCAGCGGGCTATCTCTTTGCTAAGGCTCCTTGGCTCAACTTGGGGATCAATTGAAAGCCCTGAGGATTATGTATGATTACACGAGAGGAATGCGGAAATGGAAGCAAGAAAATAACACTTGTATTTTTATGGTGACGTTCTTGGAGTAGAAGTACGCTTGAATTGCAAGCTACACCTGGTACTTGTACTTGGGGTAGTATGGTACTTCGCCTACGTAACTTAACGTATTGTGTAAACCAAAAATTTCTGGCCAGGTTAGCTTTACTATACGCTTCCATCTACGAATTGAATGAAGCTATATAGATTCCTTACTATACTTACGGAGTATATTATACCATTTTACCATTGCGCAGTACTGCCAATACACATAAGGGAAACCTCCAGCGGACTTGAAAGATCGACTGCATAACCTGCATAACATGGGGGGCATTAAGCAGCAAATCACGGGTTCACCGCCGTTACCAACTTAAGCCAACGAAGCCTCTTTGAGATAACACTCTGCAACCTAACAATTGCGTCTGCGTTACGGCTATCTATAAGCAACAACAGCTGCCGAAATGATACCGCCATGCGATCCCGCTATTTTGACAAATAATCCACATTTCAAACGCCTTTACCAGCAACTAACTACCACTCAGCTTAACCCAGATGGCTCAACGCGCGCCGTTGATGCACAGCCGGAAAGAAAGGGAACTCTGAACGTATGTTTCCTGCATGGATCGCGGTACCTGAAAACGCCAATTGAGCGCCTGGTTTGACGTGCTATTCTTAGGAATTGAGGAACTGTCAAGTGCGAAACACGAAGAAACAGATCAAAAAGCAGACACTGCGGCAACTAGCGCTTGACCCCGACAACGAATTACCAGATGATGTAGGCGGCCTTGCCTCGATTTATTTTCCATGTATGAGTATTTGCTAATTGAAGTTCCATACTGCGCATCAGTGCCGCGATTCTCTAGCTATTGTCAGCCTTTACCTCGAGTCTTCTCCTGGCCAGCTCGACCTAATCCACGACTCTCGCGATGGAGCAGATGTGGATACACTCCTGGCACCGGATATCGAGCGATTTCACTCGAAATTACCTATCATTGTGCCATATCTGGCACGGATCCTTTCATCAACTGTGCACGACCTTCGATCACTTGCCAATGCGGGAGATAAAGCCGCCATGTCGAATACATCAGCAGAAAGTTCTCGGGCCCATATTCAAGCTCGAAGCCGGGCAAAAGCTGCGCGACAGACCCCCTTGTCATCTCAGCTGAGTGAACGAGTACAGGCTTTGCGCCATATTCAATTATCGGAGCTCGCCACGGCTCGAACGAAAATGGCAGCCACGGCAGCGGAGGTCCTTGCCATGCGGGCAGTGATACTGGAACGAACTGTGACTCTCCTGGAACGTACGAAGCATGGCGCACTGGCGCGTGCGACGAAGGCAAAGGCGGAACACCTCAATACTGTGGCGCATGGGGTTGAGGGTAAATTGAGGTATGGCTTGCAGCTCAGAAGCATAAATGTAAATTGAGCCGAACTAACTTAACTAATAAGGGTGATGAGATTGGATACTTTGTCTACTATCCACACCCCCGAAGTCAATGCTGCTCTTTCACGCTACCATAAGCATCTCCGCGATACACGCGCAGCGCTGGAGGAAAGAAGGGACCTTATTCTCGGAGAGCTGAAAGAATATGAGGATGTGGATTCGAACGCCACTAGGGGTCCTGCAAGATCTGGACCTATTGCGGAAATTGCTCAGCGATATGGGTCTTTGATCAGAGAAATAGAGGATGTTCGATCAGAGATACAACGACTGCGCAGGTGATTTTCCCTCGATGTGTACTAGGCAGCACTATCAGATCTCGGATCTACACCGACCCCAATAAAGGGCACCCGACTCGCACCATCACATGACCACCCCGCCAAAATGTTTTCCGCGGACGGAATCTTCAAGTCTCTGTCCAACGCCACAGAACAAACGAGTTTTCGGAAATTCAAACGTGATTCAAAATGGCTGACGACGCTATCTCTATCTACGATGAAATCGAGATCGAAGATATGACCTTTGACCCGAACATTCAAATTTATCACTATCCATGCCCATGTGGCGACCGCTTCGAGATCGCAATTGATGATCTTCGAGACGGCGAAGAAATAGCTGTTTGCCCGAGCTGCAGTCTGATGATTAAAGTTATCTTCGACGTGGTCAGTTTTTTTCCTGAATTTCGCTAGGACTAGGTCTAACATTCATAGTCCGATCTTCCTAAAGAAGACAAGCAGCAGGCATCAGGCGTCTCCGTGAAAGCATAAAGAACGATGAGACTGGGAAAATACGAAGTGGCTTATTTAGGATAACCGGCCACGTTTATGGAACAGACCTTGGGGAAATAGCTGGCAGTTCGTTTGGAGGGTGCGACCGAACCTGAAATCAAAGTCGAGGACCGAACGTACTGCTACAAACGACATAGGCAATCCGGCATATATCAAAAATGCCATACGATAGCTGCATATATCAAACGGAGATTGACCAATCTCACTCTCGCCATGTTCCCGCCTCTGAAGAGCCGCGCGGACTCTTCGGGTCGAGACAGCGCGTGGCCTAGATCATTGCAACCAACAGTGAATCATGATTATGGATATTACGTTTCCGTGGTTAATTAAGTCGGCGTCATACTAAGCTTGAGAGAAACTCGGTTGCATATAGTCAGGGCCCAAGACTACCGTCAAACCCTGCAGTCTACTACCGTCACCTACTACCTAGACCCAATGATTGTCCAATTCGAGATTGTATATATACACGGCGATTAATGGTTACCAGTCGCCGAAAACTAAGCAAAGAGGAAAATTCAAGTTTGGCTCCTCATTCTATCCTATCTTATCCTACACCAACACCAGCATATAGCTCTTTCAAGTAATACAACAATAAAGCCAACACCTAACTCAATATGTAATCAAAGCAAGCACTACTGATCAGCCCCACTATAAACATCCTTCGGTAGGCTCAAACCCAACTCCCCATTCAACAGGTCCGTCAGGTTTGAGTCGTCCCTCAAGCATACCCACTGTCCATTAACCGGCCGCGTGTCCTGCTTTTCGTGCATCTGGTCCCCCTCCATAACCCAGTCGAATTGCCTTGGCCCTGAAATTGGGGAGCTAAGCCAGATCTGGTGGAGAGCTGGCTGCTTGTTGAGGACATATGTTCCGACGCCGCCGACGGAGACAGTGAGAATACCGGCCTGTATACACATAGACACCTATTAGTATATCTGTACTCGATTTGATATTCATTGTGCTTCCAATCCTAGTGAGGTCTAGCCAAGCTAAACGTCGAGGCGACTCGTGGGAAAGAAAGGGAAATGCAAAAACAGACAAGAAGCTACAAGGAATACAGTGTACTCACGTGGTATTCAGCTTCCATCTCCGGCCCATCCTCTGGGAGGTCTTCGATCTCAGTGAGCACGACGTTCAAGTAGTGCTCGGCATACTCGTGATAGCGCTGCTTCGATAGAGGCGAAGGTTCGGAGACGTGCGAGGGAGCTCCGCCGGGATTGGACGACTGTGGGTGCGGGGGATGAGGGTCGGACGAGTCAGGCTGGATGCCTTTGCAGATAGCAGGGGTGGAATGGAAGCCTCGGCCGTTAGAAGAGCGTTGGGCAATGGGCTTTAAACTTGGGAAGCGGGTCGATGCGGAGGGTCCTGCGAGTCTGCCGAGGCGAGGGGCGATGGACGAGGAAAGAAGCGCGCGAGATGTATGGCGTGTGAGCATGATGGGGGTGGAAATTGGGTGAGAGGGGTTGGTTCAAGGGGTTGTCTGGGGAGGCGTGGATTGGAAATAAGTAAACGGAGAGCTTGGGGAGGAGAAGCGGAGAAGAGAGACTGACGGCATTGCAGCGCACTAAAAAAGCATTAAATCATCGCCGACGATCACGCCAAGCTTGGTCCGATCTGTATACTGCCTGGCTAGCAACTTCTCCATTGCAACTCTTCCATCCATCTCCTCGATCTACCGGTACTGAATCTTCGCCAGCTTTTGTCATTTTATAATGGCATGTTGATATTTGGTGCATGAGAATGAGGATTGTCTTGCCTCCAAGGCAGCTCTTTTTCCGCGCGTACCACTCCGTCAAGTCCACCCCAACTATGTCTGGAAACAACAAGCAGCATATGGGCCAAAACAAGCCTAAACCAAAGAGCCCACCTCTAACACATTTCCTCTGCCTTCCACTCGTCAATTCCATTTCTCTACCCCAGCTAGAATCATCTTTGGCTTCATTCAAGGCCTCAATCCCGCCAGCTTTCCCCTCAAAATCCGAGCAGCGCGAACAACAACAAAGCGCACTTATCCCAGATGCCGCCATTCGTCCCGTTGGCACTCTCCATCTTACGCTTGGGGTGATGAGCCTTCCTACCCCCGAGCGCCTCGAAGAAGCAATGCGGTTCTTCCACTCGTTGGATCTGGCTGCCTTATTGCGCACGGCGGGGGAGAACGCTGCGCAGAAACGACTACGTGTGTCGACGAGGAAGAGGGACTCTACTCCTATTGAATCGATAGAAACATCTGGAGATCAACAAAAAACAGCAAATATGAGTACAGCGCCGACAGATCAGTCCCTCGCAAGTGGCTCAACAGAAGAACCTTCCCAGGACGACTCTGGTATTCCTCAACCCTTCACTATCTCATTAGAATCTCTACATGCTCTTCCGCGCGCACGCAGTGCGGCAGTCTTACATGCTTCACCTGTGGATCCGACATCTCGCCTCTATCCGTTCTGCGAGGCCTTGCGGGACAAATTCCTAGGAGCTGGGTTCTTACAAGGGGAGTATAAATCCGCACCGAAGAAGACACCGAAGAACCAAGAAAGCGAAGTCCAGGACACACAACAATATGAACCGGCCAAGGATAAGCCAGATTCTACTACAGCCACCACCAATAAACCAGCTGGAGAGGAACCAACTCTCCTCGAGGAAACGCCCGCGGAGCCGTCCAAAGAAACAACACAACGGTTAAATCCGCCTGTAGCAACCGCCCCATCAAAATCACCGACAAGCGAGAGGAAGGACAAACCAAAGCCCCGTCCACTCTTGCTACACGCCACGGTCGTCAACACGATTTACATTCGTGGAAGGAAACGGAAGCCAGGTGTTCAAGGGAAAAAGGCCCGCAATGATCGGTATACTTTCGACGCGCGGGATATCCTCTCGCATTATAAAAATTTCTACTCGGATAGCGAGAGGACGATTCCGCGCTCAGGTGAAGGATTCATCGCTCGCCGTGAGCCGGATATTCCTGATCATGGCAACGACGAGCCTGATACCCAGGAAAACCCCGCCGCGAAGGAGAATGCAGATGCGCAGAGCGGAAAAGGAGAGCCGGCATCCGCCCAGTTGCCGAGAAATAATGATACGAAAGAAGCAGGTTATCCCTTTGTCTGGGCAAGAAATTTCCCGGTTGAAACCGTTTGTATTTGCGAGATGGGTGCGAAGAACCTTGATCCGAATGCAGATGACAGCGGGATGAACGCCAGGCTGGGAGAGAAGTATACAGTGGTTGCAGAAAGATCTTTAAATTCTGGGACAATAGAACTGAAAACCGAAAGAAACTCAATGGCTGAGAGTAACGATGGGAGTGTTGAGGAAGGAGGTGTCAAGGTATCGGCATAAATAATATCATATAATTTGGCAATTCCTAGATAAACTGCTAGTGGTCTGTAATGCTTGCACAGATACTTTGCACAAGTGCTATACTACACAACTCCAAACGCCGCGCTAAGCTAACGACACAACCAAAGCAGGTCGAAATCAACGTATTCTACTCATAAGAGTCTCCATCCCTCGTTCGACAGACAACTCCGCAGCCTTGGCCTTGACAGCAGTGACCATGCTCCTCTCAAAGTCATCTCTCGTCCTAAGAACCGTCTCGACCCACGAAAGCTGCAGATCCCAGTACTCGGTTTTGAAGTCTTCGTAGATAGTAACCACCGGTGGGCCCTTCTCCGCCTCGAGAAGTCGGACCAGCCAGTCGACCAGTCGCCATTTCTGCTTGATTGGTGCAAATGAGTCTGGGTATTTCTCGAAGAAACCGAAGACTGTGAGGACGTCGTCCTTGAATTTGTCTGTGTATGGGTCGAAATGTCGGCGGAATTTGACGCCCCTGTTGCGCACGGAGGAGAGGTACCTGACTAGGAGCTCATCCGCGAGCTCTTCAACAAGGATATCTGAGAGTGACGGGTGAAGCACGGGAGAGTAATCGGCCATGTAATCATCGAATGTAGATGTGATGCGTTTCACAGCGAAATCTCCATACCACTTTTGGGTGAAGAGCTCACTAATTGCAACACGCAAGTCGACCGAGAAAAGGACGTCCACAAATTGGGAAAGGCAGTAGGTACTTAGATCGACGTAACCGTCTCGGAGGGAATCCAGTTCGGGGACCGCTCGGGAGGCCATGTAATTCGAGTCGACGTACTGTTCGATATCGCGCCGGAATCGTGTCAAGTGTCCAAATTGTTCAGTTTCTTCATTATCGTCGATGCAGGCAATCTGGTCATTGGCGACAGCTACTAGCCAGTCTTGCAGCAACTGTAATCCGTCAAGCTGGTCGCCACCAGGGGCCTTGTATTTGGCGCATTCCTCCTCGATGAGGGTCTGCCAAGCTGTTTGACGAGCCTTCAAGACTCGGAACATCGCATCCATGATGCCCTCCAACAGGTCGGGGCGCGAAGATGAACTAGACGCGCCAATTTGTTCGTGAAGCATTCGCCACATATCTGCGAGTGTACGAGTTCGGAAATAGCCTTCGGAGGTTGTTTCGAGTGAGTCGGGAACCCGCCCTGTAAGTGCTTTTCTATCCGTCTCCATGATTCGATCCATCCATTCTTCAACGGCGTTGATGATAACATTCTGCCACCGTCGGATGAGATCGGGTTCGCGGTTATCCAGAATATCGGACTCAAGATCAGACGGTTTCCAACCAAGCTTCTTCATCTTCTTATAGTACTTCTCCCTCCAGTGGAGAATGGCAAGTAAATTGTCGGCTGGCAGCTCGGGGTCATCAACCAGACCAATCACGAAATCGTGCATCATGCGGTGGTAAATATCAGTATACGTCTTGAAGATCTTCCACTTCTTCGGCATCAGAGACTGCATGCCCTGCTGTACAACAAAAAGGTCGTTAAAGAACCACCGGAAACTCTTTTCCAACCCTTCGGGGTCTCCAATGAATTCTTCCTTGGTTTCCTCGAACTGATTCTGCGCGTAGAATTCGATCGCTTGTATGAATTTCTCCTTGTATCCTCTGACCGTCTTGGGGCCGACATTCATCGACTTGAATCGACCAGCTAGGTCCTGATGGTCCTTTTGCGCCTCTTGCAATGCTCTAACCCTCTCGTCGTTCTTCTCCTCGTTCATCACAACGATTGCTAGACGAACCACCATACCAGGGTTATCACTTTGCACGAGAGGAATAAGGTTCATGCACAACGTCCCAAGGTGGTCGTCAAACCAGTCAATCACAGAATCCAACCCCTGGAAGTACTCCTCTAAAGTAGCCTCATTACTTGGGTCCTGCGCCCTGCGCACCTGATCCATCGCCTCGTCTCGGAAATCACGCAGTCGAGAAATTCGCATATGCACCCGGAGGAGATTAGGCTGGTCCTCAAGCTCCTCGTCGTCCTCCCGCAAAAGCTCCTCTATATCCGCTAGATCTGCGCTAAAGCTCTCCAGTCCCTTCTTCATAGTTAAGGTCGCTTCGAAGTTGCGCTGAATCTTAGCAAGTTGGTCAATACGTGAGAAGTCATCGACACTGTTCTGCGACTCTGCGCACAGCCGATCGATTCCTTGGAGTTCATCTCTCGTCTTTGATACCTGGCGCTGACCGTCCGTGAGGGCGCCGAGGCTCCGTTGAACAGACGCTAGTTGGTCCCGGAGACCTTCACGGAGCTGTGCGTCGACGGCTGCTTTCTTTCGTGTGTATTCAGCTTTCAATCCGTTTATCTTGTCGAGATCCTCGGGGTGTCGGAGGATGTCCTCTAACCGGGGCATGGCCACCGTTCTATCGGCGTCACCCACTGGCGCCATTTTGATCGAGACAGAAGGCCTGAAAAATATTATTGGATATCATCAACGTTAGATGGGCATCAATTCGTCATTCCCGTGAGGAACCCCTCACGCAATCATCCTTGAGTTCGATAGATCGATAGTAGGTAGCACTGTTGTCTAAAGCACCACGGCAGAATCCTAGTCCACGTGACTCTCCGCCCACCGACATGGGGAAAGTCAAAATTTCCGAGCCACGAGAGTTGACCAGCTTTATTTCACATCGGTTTGCGGCAAAGAATTCTTATCTCAGAAACGCTCGGCTCTCAATTCAACCGACCATAAACAAATCGTTTTCCGTGTATAACAACTTCCTCGTTCGCGACTCGACCGGCACGAACATACCCTAACCGGAGCCACCAACAACCCCCAATACCACGCAATAAAGCAATCTTCGCAACGGCCCGGCTTCCTCAGTTCCGCTCCGTGTCAGTTCCTCGAGAAATTATAAAAGAACATATCAACATGAGCTACTTCCGCGTCACCCTCATCCGCTCTGCGATCGGTCTTCCCCGACGAACAACAGACGTGCTTAAGGCACTCGGGCTCAAGAAGCGCATGGCCACTGTTTTCCACCCCGTCTCCCAATCAACAGTTGGACAGATCATGAAAGTGAAGGAACTCGTCGAAGTTCAGGAGGTCGAAAAGCGAATGACGAAGCAAGAGATACATTTGGAGCGGAAGCCCGACCCAGGATACTATGTTGAGAGAACGTCGGCGATGGAATGGGCTGAGAAGAGGAGCGAGTAGAGGAAGGATATATCTCTCCTCCTCATTCTATCTTTCTTTGTATGAATATGGACACTCTATCTCTGGGTTTTCTTTGCGTGTATAAATCTTTATGTTGCTTTTCTTTTTTTTGAATTGGGGTTTATCTGGAGTTTGGATTGAGAATCGACGATATTGGTTGGCTGAGAGAACACAGGAAGATCGAGTTGAAAGGACAGTAATGCTTATTACTTCAATTGCATTGAGCGATGCCACTTTTGTCACTGTACTATATATATACACCTATATCTTCCTATTTAGATTTGGGAATCTTGAACTTTGAAACACTGATATTGGTCTTCTCTAACAACAGTGGTAAAAAATAATTTTGAAAAGCCAGTGAGGCTATAGGATATCGATACAAAAAAACAACACCAAAACACCGTATCCCCTTATGTTGAGAAGTAGTCAGAACTGTCCACGCCAACCTAGGCTGATACTCGGACAACTCCAACTTTCGAATGCATATTAACAGAGGACGTTTAAGCAAACGTCAAAAAGCCTTCTAGGCCTTATACAGCGTGTCAAGGAACCCTTCTGCGAGACGGCTAACGATGCTCTTATCAGGCATGCTCCCAGCTACGCCATAAAGGGCAGCAGTGTCGCCGCGTTTGATAGCATATGATTTGCCTTGCCGTTTTCGTTCTTCAGCCTTCTCCAGTTCTTTCTCGACAACCGCAATCACGTCTGTGATGAGTGTATCAACAGCAGCAGCTGTGGGAATTGTGAAAGCAACATGCATGGCGGGAGGGGATTGCAGGGCATTAAGGTGCCAGCCCTTAGATGAAAGGTCATCAGCAATGTCGTAAATGTCAATAGCAACATTCTTGCTCTCAAATGCTATGACGCTGACCATGGGCTGTCCAACAATCTGGAGATGGCTAGAAAGACGGGCATCCTCGTTGATGGCTGATTCAAACTTCTTCGCCGCATTGACAATGTCAAGACAGCTTTTGATATAGCCAGATTCACCAACGTTCATGAGACTAGCCCAGCAGCCTGCGATCAACGCACCTGGCCGTGACCCAGCAACCGAGGGAGATGCATAAACACCACCAGACCAGTCGGGGTAAATAAAATATTGGTGGCTGCGGTAGGCCTTGCTCCGGTACAATAACACAGAGTTACCTTTCGGTGCGAACCCATATTTGTGCGTGTCGACGCTAATGCTAGTAACACCTGGTTGGCGGAAATCAAAACCCCCCTCTTCTTCGTAAGGTGATGGGAAACCAGCCTTCTTGAGATGCGCAATGACGAATGAACCTAGGCAGCAGTCGACATGGAGAGGAATCCTATAATGGGTGGCAAGTCGAGATAACGCGGGAATATCGTCAACCATACCATGGGGGAAGTTCGGCGCAGAGCCAACCAGCAGAACAGTGTTGGAATTGATCAGTCGTCGCACCGCAGTGACATCGACCTTGAACTCTGGGGCGGGGCATGGAACACGGTGCAGCTTCATACCAAAGTAGTTGCAGGCCTTGATGAATGCAGCATGAGCAGTGTCGGGGATAATCCTTCAACCCGGTTAGTATTGAATTGCTATTGATTAAAAAAAAAAAAAGGGAATCAGTGCAAGCTCACATTTCAGGTTCTGTCACGCCTCGTTCAGCGCGCGCTTTGTTACGTGCTCCCAAGCAAGCCATGAGAATCGATTCAGTGCCACCACTAGTCGTTACTCCTGCGCCATCGGAGGGACCATTAAACATCGCGAGGACCTGTATCAAACCCCGTAAGCTACCATACACATACCTCAGCTTCATCGTGGGAGGAATTTACCATTGCAACAACCTCAGCTTCCATCTTTCGAACGCCTGGGAAAACATCCGGATGGATGGGGTTGGTGACACCAAATTTCTCGAAGGCCTCGGCCTGGATTTTGATGAGGTCCTTTCCACCATGGTACACGGCACCACTGACACGACCATCTTCCCATCGAGTATGCTCCATATTACCGAGTTTTTCGAGCTCGGCGCGAATCTGCTCAGGCGTCCATCCTTCTTTCGGTAAAGTCAGATATCGTGTAACGCCAGGGCCATTTGGTATAAGTTTCGATTCTAGGCCTTCAATTGCAGTCGAAACCTGTTTGTCGACTTGTCCCCGAACTCCAGGTAATCGCAGAAAGAGAGAGTAGCAATATAGACGGATCGCGAGTAGGACATTGCGGATGCTGCCGACGAAGCCGTATCCCCGTAAAGAATAGAACGTCTTTCGAACGTAGCGGAGCAGAAATAGGATAAAAACGATATTTCGAATGCTGTCGCACATGGTCGCACTATTAGCACTTCAATGCTCAAAAGTTTAAGAGCAGGCCATGCCCCTCCACTTACAGGTCCAAGTTCAGGATAGCCAGCTGGGCGCTGGGCGTCTTGCCATAGCCAAGCAGCTTATTCTGCAGCGCAACTGGCAGCACAGACGTCGCCATTCTTCCTCCTCAAATAGCTCTCGTATTCAGATAATAAATATAAAGTATATTCAATAATGGTATGGAAAGGGCGATCTTCAAAGGATAAGGATACGTAGGGCAGAGAACTGGTGAAGTGGAGGAGAGCCTGGAGAGGGTCGGATATCGGATGTCAAGGAAATTGGATGAGCCAATTCAGGAAAGGCTAAAAGACACCGGATGACGACTGTAAGGTTAGTAACGCTTGCCCTGCTTGACTCGGTAGTGCTGAGCAGCAGATGTCAATCAATGGAAAACCTGCTGGAAACGCCAGAGGTTAGATTGCCTCGGCTGTTGGTTCCACATGCCACTTCGTCGGATTAGGCAAGCCCGTGACGTTTTATGCATCTGTCACGCTCGGACACAACTACGGAGTCCACTGAATCTGCATAACGGTTATCCTATGTACCACCTCTACTTGCTACTACTAACAGCTTTCCGGCGCCATAAGTCCCGATATGATTATATTTGTCTCTGTGCCTTTATCTCATTTTTAGAACTTCAACACCGAGGCCTGCTATATACAGGATTCACTTGAGAACCAATATTCGCAGAACACCAACCACTCTTTCCCTTTGCATTTGGTTCAGGGACAAATAACACTTTTAGAATCCCAAATATAACCTGAAATACCCCAGACCACACAAATTAACACCCAAATCATGACAAGAACAAAAGGAAAATCCACGTCTCACTCGTAAAGGAGTCGCTGGGGGAATATAATCAAAGCTCTAGGAAAAAAAAAAAAGAAACATGACATGGTCACTCTATCCCAATTGAAAGAGTTTACAGCGCAAAGTAAAATATGCATAGGTTCGTTTCGGCAATAGGAAACGAGATACCCGTTTAGTGGGCAACGCCACTTTCAGCCAATTCCTTCTCCTTGGCAAGGAATTGAGCATGCTCATCAGCGGTCAGGTCCATAAGGGGCTTGTTTTCGCCGGAGCTGAGGTTGCGGTAGTAGGCACGGATGATGCTGTCCGCATCATCGATAGCAATAGGTCGGATGTCAGCAAGGGCCTTGATCTTAGCTGTGCACTCCTTGTACTGGTCATCAGTCATGTGGACGTTAAGCTGTTGAGCACGCGACTTGATGGCGTTCCAGCCAGTCAGACGAGAAGCAAAGTGAACATATCTTGACATGCCGAAGTCAGCAGGGTTGATGATCTCGTAGGTGCTAGGGTTGTTCAAGATAGCTTTGGCGTGGATACCGGCCTTGTGGGTAAAGGCACAGAAACCGGTGATGTAGTTGTTGAAGGGGATGTTGACCTCAACAGCCTCAGCAACCAGGTCTTCGATGTCCTTGAGCTTCTCGAGCTTGTACTTGCTCTTAACGTACTGGGGGTCGGCAACCATCATGCGAGCCATGAGACCACCAAGCGGAGTGATACCGTTCCGCTCACCAATACCAAGAACAGAGGTATCAATGTGAGTAGCACCAGCCTCCAGAGCACAGTACGCGTTAGCAATAGCACAACCTGTGTCGTTGTGGAAGTGAGTTTCAATATCGCAGCTCACAACACCTCGGAGCACACGGATGAGCTCGTAAACTTGGCGTGGGGAAGCGCAGCCAACGGTGTCGGCAATACCAACACGGTTCACACCAACCTGGTCGACGGCGGAGTAGATGGAGAGAAGGTCAACGAGGTCGGAACGGAAGGAATCCTCGCTGGAAAATCGAATTTCAATACCCTTGGACTTGACAAATTCGATAACCTCAATGGCGGTGTTCTTGATGTAGGTCATGTCCTTGCCATGAGAGTGCTCACGGAGATATGAGGATGTTCCAATGACAACATCACTGTACAGTTTATTAGCATTCAAGCCGAGGAACAAAGCAAAGACGCAGAAAATTCTTACACTCCGTCGACACCAGTCTCAACAGCGACTCTAGCGTCATCCATGTGGCATCGGATGTGAGTAAGAATCTAGTTGACTTAATTAGACACCGTACACGTCGACCTTCTCAAGAAGCAAGAACATACCTTGGACTTCAGGCCAAGCTTGCAGATGGCCTCACAGTCAAGCCTTGACTGCTCAGAAGCACAGGGGCTAGTAAGTTCGATCTACAACAATTAATTGTCAGCAAAGGGACCTGCGGTTGAGAGCGATTTTCTCAAGAATAACTCACGTAGTCAACACCGAAATCGTCCAAGGCCTTGGCAATCTCGATCTTCTTCTGGGTATCGAAGAAGGCATTGGCAAATTGTTCACCCTCACGTAGAGTGCTCTCGATGATCTTGAAACGGGAAACATTGCTTAGGAAATCGGTAACGCCGACGTTGTGACCATAAGGGTTGCGGGAGGTGGAGGGGTGAGGGTTTTGGCGGGTCTGAATGGCAGTGAAGCCGGAGTGGTCACCTTGCCAAAAGTCAGCTCTTGTGGGTTCTATATACAATTGAAATCATAACCGTAATGTTTGACTGACCGTTGGCGCCATTTGTTTGCCCATTGGGCTCGTTGTCTGCACCGGGGCACATTGTGTGTGAGTGATGGCGGGGGTTGGTTTGCAGATCTAATGCGAGGAAGTATGGAGGAAGTTGAACTATAGGGTGGAGTGGTTAGGCTCGAAGTCTCGAGTGGATGGGTGGGCGAGAGATGGGAAGGAGAGAGAATACTGACACTCAAGTCAAGGGAAAATCCAGGTGTTTATATGCTCTGCAGTGAGGGAGAAGTCAAGAAAAAGAGTCATAGGCTTGGGAGGGAAGAAAAGTGGGTGGGGATGTCGAGGGCGGGCGATCTCCAATGAAGGCACAGGCGATGATGACTCCTCCGCCAGCGGCAACGAAGAAAAATTTCGCCGCCGAGCACCTCCTTCACCCTTGGAATTTTTCCTCTGTGGGGATCCCGCCTCAAGGTTCGTCTCTTTCATATGTCCATCCAGATTGTCATCACGCAGCCAATAAATGCGTTGTCACGTTGATTCCTGCCTTATAGAGTCGTCCAGTATCCTAGGTGGCTTTCCCCCATTTTATTCCGTCCTCAATCGACCGAACCTTTGATGGCAAAAGTTGTCTGTATAGTTGTTGTACTATCGTTACGGGTGGATACATCATGACTATAAGTATACCACGTGAAATCACTGGCCTGTGGAAGGATATGCCACTATTCACGGACGGAATTTTCATAAGCTTACCAGTAAATGTCAAGATTTATTTCTGCTTAAAAGCAACATGAATAACTCACTCTCTATGGTTGTTTTGACCTGAATCCAAGCCAGGCCTTCTGACTTCGCCTATGGGGACCGATATCGGCAGGCGGTCGCAAAAAGAATTCTGTAATCGATTTACCAGCTTAGGTAATTAATAGTACTTAGTTATCTACGACCCAGCCAGGCCAAAAACTACGTCAATCATGTCTAGAAAGTCTATGATTGATAATCAGCCTTTAAATACCTAATGTCTGGTCCATAAAATCAGGATCTTTATGATTAATTGCGCTGTAATAGATAGTAGCAGGAGGAGTGTTGGTTATTGCTAGCCATTTGCTTGAAGTCTGCTTCACCGTAGCAAGGTACTTTGTAGTAATGGGTTTTCTCCCCAAGCTGGTTGGCCTACGAGCGTACCTTCTCCAGACCGTGGATGACTTACTCAACTCCCGCCTGTAGATCATTCATTGGGGTCGGCCCCAGGGCTGTTCCGGCGCCCCTCGAATACTTAGGAATAATACGTCCACAAATAGTCTAACCAGAGGGCGTCCAAGAGTGCCCGAGTAACTGGAGTGCAGACCATCCCTCAATAATCAATCAATACTTTTAAGCAAAACGGGTTGTAAAACATACATGCTAAACTTGGTAGGAAATAATGTGCCTGGTAGCTAGTGATCCCCTCAAATGACTTATTGCCTCAAAGAATGTACAGACAGCCTCTTCGGTCTTGTTTCGAGGGGAAACCAAACACTGCGTCGAGATGGCAGTCAGCTTCTTCCTTTCCAAATTGCCGATTTTTCGAGGTAAGAGTAGCTAGGATACATGGCTATGCGGCCACTCATACAACCCAGCTTTTCAACCTTGACACATCCCGTCTGAACGGATAGGTGCCACCGCGTTCGAGATCATGGTTGTGCCTCTCCAAGCCCGTGCCTTCAAGTAGCCCTGCCTCAATATCATTTGGGTACCACTTCGAGCCCGCAGAGTCATCAGATCCACTGCTCTCTTTCATGTCGCTCTTCAAACGCTGGGATATAGATTTTCCAATTCCGTATCCCCTCTTGCGAGAAACCCAGAAGGCGCTACTCATAATTGTGTGTCTGGAGTTCCGCATTGAAAAAACTAGGGTGGCCACGACGATGATCACGACAATGAGACTCACAGGGAGGCCGATACACAGTGCTAGCTTATTGAATCGTGGTGGCGGGGATGGTTTATAATGCTCCACGGGTCTAGGGCGAAGCGTAATGGTTGGACCCTGTCGGGCACTCGCCCTGCGATCCAAGGCGGAATCAAGTTCAATAATGTAAAGTGTCAATGTATTGTTTTGTTTCCCTTGAAGCCACTCTTTGCTCATGTGGAGAGGGATATATCCATAGCTGTTATCAGTCTTTTCAGAAGTAAATGCAGAAGACCCCTCTAGCAAGTCGGAGTATCTCAGTTCGATTGTGATGGTTGCATTTAAGGGATAGAAATCGGCATTCCATGTCACATAGTAGGTTGAATCGACTAGGACATCCGCGCCATCTTCTGGGAGACAAAACGGGACAAAGGGTCCTTCTAGCTCGGTACAGACAGGGAAATCACCAGTTGAGAACCGGTTCGATGTGTTTGCCGGTGCCATGGTAGCATTATGGTTAGCGATGGAAACGTTCGCAAGGCTGGTGCCTTGAGAATAAAATGGATTAGAAATGAGTGCCATCGCATCGTGAAGGTTCGAACTACGAACCGAAATCGAATCTCGCTCCTGTTCTCACAACTGCTCCAAGGGCATAATTTGGCAGCCATGCGACAATAGATATCAGCGCCTTTAAGACCCAAAGGGACCCAGGGTGAACTTGTCGACGCTGCATAATAGATGCAAGGAAGTTATATGTCAAGCAGTAATCCGACGATGAATAGAAGTGCAACTTTTCTGCCGCAAAATAAGAGGATGTCTCAGCATTGAGTATCACGTCATGGCAAAGGCTATGTGGAAGGGCCACGTCCAGTTACTATGCAATCTGCATTTGTGTGGTTACTCATGGTGGTTGAGGAAGGAGCCACAAGGTCCAGGAAGGAACCACTGGGGCCTAGGAACATCTGCCATACGCATTGTAGTGGGATACCTAGGCATTCATCCTGACTTCTATACCTGAGGTTTATCCCGAGATAAAGGCCCTAGAAAGAGGATCGAGCCCTTGTGGGCGGTTCAGTATTGATGCAGATTGTGGATTTGGCTGACTTTCATTCATGAAAGGGCCACAAAACTCTCAAGGAAACAATCCATAATCAACCTTGGAACCTCAAGCGGTGTTGTTCCAGAACAATGAACAGTTCAATGGTTGGCGTTTGCTCCACTAATATTGACCGAGCGAGGGCCGTTTATCGATAAACTTGAAAGAGCTCCAGCTCCAGCTGAGTCCAGTAGGAAAGCAAATAAACAGGATGACATAATCGATTCCGCAATCAAATCGGAATGAAGGAGGTTTCAGGTCAATACGCGATATTAATGTCGAGAAAGTAATATTGAAGAATATTTTGCTATTTTCCATTTTTGTCGCCTATAACTCTAACGACTTGGGTGTCTCAAAAGGTTTCTATCCACTTCGAGGGTTTCGAGAATATCGGGTTCCCCGCTCTGGAGCTGCAAGTGCAAGTCGCGGGTTGCCGTTTCGAGTTTAGGCCAGCTGTCGCGCGTAGTCCGCTCATCGTGGCTCTTTCGTTTGATCAACTCCAGCTCCCTTTTGTCCCCAAGCTGCCTGCTGTCTGTACTTTGGCCTTTTAATCAACCCATCTCCCAAAGTGCGCCCGTTGCCTATATAATCAGCCCAGGTTTGTATTTTCATCAAAATATCCATCCAGCTTGATAGCTCTTGCCTACTAACACGTGTCTCTCCTATTACCAGCATTATGCGCTTCATCCCCCTTCTCGCCCTCCTCCCAGCGCTCGCTGTGGCCGAGGAGCAGGTCCCTCTCGCGGACCGGGTCCAGGGCTGGTTCAACAAAGCCAAGTCTTATCTGCCCACCGCCACCCCAGTCATTCCCGTTGCTGAGAAGGTGGCCGACATCCCGAAGAAGGTCATCCAAGAAAAGACTGTTACCCCTTTCAACGCAACCAACTGGCAATCGCTCCTCGAACCGACATCGACTCCTCAAGACTGGCTAGTATTCGTTACCGGTGGAAACAAGACTTGCTTTGGCCGCTGTGGCAGGGCTGAAAAGTCGTTCAACGTGAGCGCGCCTAATTACTCTCCACGAAAAACACACAAACGGTCACTACAATGAAATATAGACTAATCACTTACTGGCAGGAATCCATTCCCCTCTTCGCTATTGATCCGACTTCTCCCAATCTCGGCTACCTCGACTGCGAATCAAACCAGCTTCTCTGTTCCGCCTGGTCCGCTGGTGCTCCATCCGTTTGGTACTTCAAGGTCCCACAAGCTCAGGCCGCCGAGGAGCGCCCATCTACTGCTTTGCACATCAACTACGTGAACTCGACCACTGTGACCCCAGAGACAATCTACAAGATCCATTCCGAGAAGAAGTACGAGGACAGACCCGCCTATGAAGGCGCATTCCACCCGACAGATGGCTGGCTTGCTGAATACGGCCTGCTTGTGCCTCTGGGCTACGTCATTTACGGCTTTGGAATAATTCCTAGCTGGCTTTTCATGATTGTTATCAGCATGGCCAGCCGGACGATAATGTGAGTTTTCCATGTGTTCGTATCTTACTGTGCGCTAACATAAACATTAGGGGCCGTCGCCTTGGGAATACAGGAGCAGCTCCTGCCGGTCGTACTGGCTAGACTGCTTGTCGCAAAGTCGTGTGCGCTATTTTCCAATACTATGATGACGGGATGTACATATGTTACACTATTGGTGCCTTCTGATCTGATAATCGAACCACGTCGGAGGCTTTGGTTATTTTTACATCCTCGGCTTCACGGTATTGTTTTGGATCTTTCAAGTTATGAGACTGTTTTAGTAAAATAAAATAGCGGAGCGTTGGTTTACATTAAGTTAATAGCATAAAAACATGTCTGTTTCTGCGGCTCTCTTTTTTCTCCTCGATTGATAGGTAAACGCGATTGCTCAAGTAAATCCAAAATCCAGCCGCAGCCCGTATGCACCAAGCACGCGCTTCTTACTACTTTATTCTTACAGAGTAATTACCTTGGTCCCTTGATCGAGCGGCCAGATGGAAAGTGCTTGCAAATCACGTAGTGCGATTAGATGCAACCCCAGGCGTCTAAGAATTGCGACTAAGAGGGATGTCTATTATTTTGAGGTATAGAATATTAGCCCATTGTATGTCTCTATGTTTCATGTCCTGAGGAATAATTTAAAATTTTTATCGTTGTCTGTCGCGGTTGGGTCTGTTCCGACGCGGAGCAACCAGCGGGTGGAAGCTCGTTCCGCTCCAAAATACATATCTGCTCCGCACAAGCTTTATTGAACTTCCTCTTCCCAACACTCACCCCATATTCCCATTACCACTATGGCAGAACTCGACCGCATTCCTCCGTCAACAATGACTTATGTCATCGCCACCGCTATTATCGCCGGGATAAGCGGATATTTTCTCGGACAAGGGTCGTCGTTGGGCCTGTTCTCATCCAAGGAGAAAGAAGGTTGGCCGAATAGCTACAATGTGAAGGTGCACCGGGGATCGTCCGACGAAGAAGATGAGACCGAGGAAGATGAGGAAAGTGAAGAGGAGGAGGGAGATGGGAGCGAGCTGGCGAATTTTGAGAACAATAATGAGGAAGTGAAATTGGTGCTTGTGGTGAGGACGGATTTGGGGATGACGAAAGGTCTGTACAAGCATTTCCTTTCTCACTCGAACTTGTCCGAGACAGAGGCACAAGAAGCAAGAGCTAACGCCCGTCTGATACAGGCAAAATCGCAGCCCAGTGTTCCCACGCAACTCTCGCCTGCTACAAATATCTCGTCGCAAACCCGTCCAGCTCTACGATCCTGCGTCGCTGGGAACGACAAGGCCAAGCGAAGATTGCGCTACAGACCAAATCGGAGGAGGAAATGGAGTTGTTGCAGGCGCAAGCCATAAGCCTTGGACTGTGCGCTCGCGTTATACAAGATGCTGGACGCACCCAGATCGCCAGTGGCACCAGGACAGTTCTTGGAGTCTTGGGACCGAAGAGCGTGGTTGATAATGTGACGGGACATCTGAAGCTGCTATAATCGACATACATACACCCTGGTATGTGGTCTTGAAGGTCTTGACCCTTCGGGCTAGGTGTTTGGAGTTGGGACACCCACGATATGTAGAATATACCCTTTCAAAACTTCCTGTGAAACACGTTGTGTCTAGAGGAGCATGGACACTCAGAAAAACAGCCAGCCCCAGGCACTACAAACTATATAAAACTGCTATCGTAAAAGGTGATGTTGGCAAGCCATGGTTTCTCCCTAACCTCATCGGCCAACGGCCAGATCGGTGAAGGGAACAGGAATATGACGCCGTCGACACCGGGGTCTCTCGCCGAGCTCACCAGAGGGAGCTCAAGACGAGAGTGAACACCCCAATGCCAACATTTAATCTGAGATCTGTCGACCGGAAAATAATGACACCAAGCGTAAAAAATGGTGCCTCCTTGGGTCGTCGAACTGTCCAGCAATCAACCAAAACGCAAAAGAGACAAGCTCAATCACGATCAGGATCGCTGAACACAGATCCGTGTTTGTTCGGTTCATGAAGAGAAAAGAAGAAAAGAAGAGAGGGAAAATTTCCGCTGCGGCCAATTTATGGCTCGCGCTAAGTGGGCGCTAAAGAATTAATGGGCGCTAAACCTTACCGAGATATACTGCTTATGTAATGAGGCCTAGGCAACTCATGCGCTGGGCGGAAAGTGGCTAGTCACCTTATCACAAAGACATCGGATTAATTCTTTCAACGCATCACCTCCCACCGACTCTCCTAGTTCCAGCTCGTCTTGTCTAACCCGGGTTACTTGGTTGACAAAATGGCGGACGCTATTTCCATCGAGCAGAACAACAAAATCCGCGCGGCGTTGGGCCTGAAGCCTTTACCCGTTCCCGGTGCCGACGAGGGTCCGTCCTTCAAGGAATCCAACGACGACTCTTCCGACGAAGAACCTGCGAGTACGATAGAGACGCGCGAGGCTGCAGCTTCAGGTAACTGGAAACAGTTGCAAGATGAGAATGAGGCAAAGAAGAAGCGAGAGCAGAGGAACGCGGCTATTAAGAAAGCGCGCGAGATAGCACAGCGGAATGCGAAACTCGAAGGGTCGACGCTGGGGGAGAGCGCGGATGCGGAAATGGACACTAAAACGTGGCTACTGCAGACGAAAAAGAAGCAGAAGAAGATCGAGAGGGAACGGGCGCGCAAACTAGCGGAGGAGCTGGAGGAGCGACAACGTGTGGCGGAGTATACGGCTACCGATCTTGCTGGTATCAAGGTTGGACACGAGATCGGGGAATTTGGCGGAGGGGAGGATCATGTCCTCACGCTCAAAGACACGACTATTGATGAAAATGAAGAGGAGGGTGATGAGCTGGAGAATGTTGATTTGCGGGACAAAGAGAAGGCCGCGGAGAGATTAGAGCTAAAAAAGCGGAAACCAGTTTACGATCCGACCGAGGAAAATTCCGGGATATTGGCTCAATATGACGAGGAAATCGATGGCAAGAAGAAGAAGCGGTTCACACTGGACGCCAAGGGATCTACTGTGGAGGAACAAGAGGCGCGACGACAAGAGGTTTCTAATAAGCTGAAACGCAACATTATCAGCCTCGACTTTGAAGCTGAGACTCCTACTTCGGATTACATGGATGTGAGCGAAATCAAAGTAAAAAAGCCCAAGAAGAAGAAGAAGGCCAAAACCACCAAGAAGAGATCTGCCCTTGACGATGATGATATCTTCCCAACGGCAGAATCTTCGGAGGCTCCGAATGGAGCGTCGATGGATGTTGACGCTGTCAACGGCGCACCGGCGCCTGCGCCTCGCAAGAACCTAGATGAGAACGTTTCATTTGTGGATGACGATGATTTACAAGCTTCTTTGACCCGCCAGAGACGAGCCGCACTTAAGAAGCGACAAAAAGCGCGGCCGGAGGACATCGCACGACAGCTCAGGGAGGAAGAATCCCAGACTCCGATGGATGTTGAAACTCCAGACGAAGAAGAGCCTGGCCTAGTCATCGATGAGACCTCGGAGTTTGTTTCCAACCTACAGAAACCAGTTTTGCCAGAACCTAATGAGCGCCGAACAACCACGCCGGGTGAGAGTCCTCGCCCTCGAACTGAGGAACCCGAGGACGAGCAGCCTGTAATCGAAGGCGGCGATGTGGATATGGAAAGAAGCTATAATGATATCGAGGACGATGAGGATCTCCAAGAGCGCCTCAACCGTGAACAATCACAAGCCGAAGCACCGATCACTGGTACTGGATTGGAAGAGGAAACTACGCTGGCACAAGGCCTGGGTGCTACACTTGGTATGCTCAAGAAGCGTGGTTTAGTGAAGGAAACAGACGCCGCAGAGTCGAACTCGCTCCTCCGCGATCGCAACCGTTTCATCTCAGAGAAGAACCGTATGGAGACGGACGCGGAAAGACGCGCACGCCAGCAGCGTGAGCGTGATCGAGCCTCAGGAAAGCTTGACCGCATGTCTGCGCGCGAACGAGAAGAATATGCGCGGTGGGAGAACAAGCAGCGAGACCAGCAAGAAGCCCGGCATATGGCCGATGTTTTCAACAAAGAGTACAAACCCGATGTTCAGCTTAAGTATATTGACGAATTTGGTCGCTCGATGAACCAGAAAGAGGCGTTCAAGCATTTGAGCCACCAGTTCCACGGCAAGGGCAGTGGCAAGATGAAGACCGAGAAGCGGTTGAAGAAAATCGATGAAGAGAAGAAGCGCGAGGCCATGAGTACACTTGACAGCAGTCAACACACTGGAATGAACAACGCCATGGGGGCGACTGCACGGAAGAACCGACAGGCTGGTGTTCGTTTGGGCTAGATAGTTGGTTTTACTACGCATATACTCATACCCGAAAGCTCCATGAGCATACATACATTGTACAGTTGATATCAATATTTATCCGAATTACACCGGAGAGTATGGTCGATTGACCCCAGATTGAACCATTTATTCTCCATGAACTTTAGGTCCTTGGCTACGATAATTCACGGGGGGGTTGTCCCTGCGGGCGATTCCGGAACCGCACGCGATTCGCATGGCTCGGGTCTGTACCGTCCGGCCTCAAATGACTTCTTTTGTCCTCGTGCACGACTCGGGAGCTCAGTGAGTCGAGCTGCCTAGGCTTCTCCTGATTTTCGTGGTGAGACTTGGCGTGTGGGGGAAATTTAACCGATCAACAGCAAAAGCTCTCTCGGGTTTGGATCTTCCCAGGCAACGGGCCCGAGTTTGAAATAAAGCCACGGACTCCAACTAGCGCAGGCCTTCAATTTTGTAGACACCAGACAGAATATTTCCGAATCGAGTGATATTTCGTACAGAGTAGAGACGGGACAGGGATTCAGAAGTCAGCCCAGCTGCCTGGAGAGTCGGGAAGAAGCCGAAGAGGATGTTCTGGGGCAGTTGCATTGTCAATCAGTTCGTGCTCTTTTTACCCCAAAATCCTGTGAGGGGAAGGTGTCAAAAAAAGTTCACCGAGAGCGGCCTGAACTCTGGCGCGACCGACTCGTCACTCGAGTCTTTTCCTGCTCTTCCCGGGCCGTGCTGCTCTCCCACTCAGTTTGGAGATGCTCGCGTGGAGATGCGGAGATGGCAGGATACCGGGGGATCGTATGCAGCGCACGATGTCGGAACCCAACATACAGGCAAATTCAAGGGCGTAAACAGCCCAAACAGCCCAGAATCGGTCGGGATTGGAGTCCCGTGGAGCATAGATCGGATGCGCGCAGTCGGCGTTTTACCCGCGATCGGCCCCATTGCCCAAGCAGCATGTTCACATGAGTCAAAGAAAACACTCACACAAAACACTCACGCAACATCTCCGAGACTGGAGCTAGTTATTTATCACTCCCTTGCTGACCGATCGTCCTCTTCTCACTCCCCTGTTTCTTTTGCTCCTTTTCCTTTTTGACAGCTGTGTCTTTTCGTCCCATTCTCCATTTCAATTGATAGCCAACATGCTTTCCACCCTCCGAATCGCTGGCCGCAAGGCTGCCACCCGCGATGCTAGCGTGCGCACTGTGATCGCTGGCGCCAGATATGCTTCTACTTGGTCCAACGTTCCCCAGGGCCCTCCTGTAAGCTTGAACTTCAATTAGCACAATTGAAACGATGCAATTCCTGACAGCGTGATTTGCGGTATTTTTTTTAGGATGCCATTCTTGGTATCACCGAAGCCTTCAAGGCTGATTCTTTCAACGAGAAGATCAACCTTGGTGTTGGTGCTTACCGTAAGAACCCCCCGGACGGATCTGTCCAGTCTCTGGTCGAGCATTTTTCATCGACTTCCATTGAATTGATGATTGCGTTTGATATACCTACACCGCTAACCATACTTTTTGCCTACAATAGGTGACGACCAGGGCAAGCCTTTTGTCCTGCCCTCCGTTCGTGCCGCCGAGGACAAGGTTGTTGCGTCGCGTTTCGATAAGGAATATGCTGGAATCACTGGTATCCCTTCTTTCACCAAGGCTGCCGCTCAGCTGGCCTACGGCGCCGACTCTTCCGTCCTGAAGGATGACCGTCTCGTTATCACCCAGTCCATCTCCGGTACTGGTGCTCTGAGAATTGGTGGTGCTTTCCTCGAGCGCTTCTACCCCGGCGCGAAGAAGATCTATCTCCCCACCCCCAGCTGGGCCAACCACAACGCCGTCTTCAAGGACTCGGGCCTGGAAGTTGAGAAGTACCGTTACTACAACAAGGACACCATTGGTCTTGATTTCGAGGGCTTGGTTGCCGACCTTAAGGCCGCCCCCAGCAACAGCATCGTCCTGCTCCATGCTTGTGCCCACAACCCCACTGGTGTCGACCCTACTCAGGACCAATGGCGCAAGATTTCCGACGTCGTGAAGGAGAAGGGCCACTTTGCCTTCTTCGACATGGCCTACCAAGGTTTCGCCAGTGGTAACGCTGACCGCGATGCCTTTGCTCCCCGATACTTTGTTGAGCAGGGCCACAACATTGCTCTGTGCCAGAGTTTCGCTAAGAACATGGTAGGAAGCGAACGTTTTTATTTTCTGTAATCGCCTGCTAATGCAACCCGGTAGGGTCTCTACGGTGAGCGTGTCGGTGCTTTCTCTCTTGTTTGCGAGTCTGCCGAAGAGAAGAAGCGCGTGGACTCCCAGATCAAGATCCTTATCCGTCCCCTCTACTCCAACCCTCCCGTGCACGGCGCCCGTGTTGCCTCGACCATCATGAACGACCCCGCTCTTAACCAGCAATGGCTCGGTGAGGTCAAGGGCATGGCTGACCGTATCATCGAGATGCGTGCTCTCCTCAAGAAGAACCTCGAGGAGCTTGGTAGCAAGCACGACTGGTCGCACATTACCAGCCAGGTACGGAATTCCTGATCTGACTTGAAGCAGCCTATGAATACTAATTTTTACCCTAGATCGGCATGTTCGCCTACACCGGCCTCAAGCCCGAGCAGATGGACGCCCTTGCCAAGGAGGTATGCATAAAGCCCCAACCCCATAGGTAGCTATACTAGTTACTAATATCAGAGCAGCACTCCGTCTACGCCACCAAGGACGGCCGTATCTCAGTGGCCGGTATCACCACTGGCAACGTCAAGCGCCTGGCCGAGTCCATCTTTAAGGTGACCGGTTAAATTGAGGCAAAGGGGAGATAAGGAGGGCTAAATTGGTTAAAAAAAATTAAATATGCCTTGAGGAGGAAGCAGGGGAGCTTTTTTTGTACTGATATCCGCTTTTGTTCTATTAGCATATTATGGAGACTTTTTTTAAGAAAAAAATTTACTTTGGATGACAATTCTATTTCAACTGAATACCATAATAAATCCTTTGGCAATCTGTCGCCTGCTATTGATATCCGGTATTTGATATCCAGTATTAGTCGTGCCTCGAGGCTAAGTTGGTTACAACCAAAAGCAATAACGATGGCTATGGCTGTCCCGAGAGCCTGGGTACCCTCAATGAGTGGACATTATCGGAAACCGCAACAATGGCTAGCTGGGTAAGTAAGGAGGTGCCTGCCTGCCTGCCTGCCTTCGAGCTTCAGCTCCGCCATGACCCGCCACGGGAAGGGGGACAGCTCCTAAGTTCTCACTCCTCGCTGGGTACCTGTGGCTATATGGACCCATTACCTACCTTGCAGGTTTACACCGAACGCTGATAGTCTCCCTATCAGTTAGTTCAATTTCTAATCCGCCGGTACGAAAACATGATAATCCTCCATTAGCGATTGTGTCGCATCCAGCAGAGAAAAAGAAAAAGAAAAATAAAAAAAGAAGAATCTTGCAACTTAGCACGGCACTCACAGTGCGTGCGAGATTGCCTTACATTTACACCGTACAGGCTGACATCCATGAATCCATAGATGGGACCCATACCTCCAGCTAGCTAGTACTAACTAAGTAGTACTGAGCAACTGGGTCATCCATTTTAGGCAACTACTACAACCCGCCGGTGTACAGTACGTACTCAGGTTAGTCTACCGACAGGACAAAATAAAAGTAAAAAATAAAATAAAACAGGAGCCCAGCTCTGTGTGCCTAAAAATAATATACCTCTTGGACCCATCGCATTCTTTCAGCCCTTCGGGGTGGGCGAGGGAGCGGTGATGGTAGAGTATGGATCCTTTTACGTGGTTGGGTACGTGGTCGTGGCTGACCGACTCTCGGTGGCTAAGTATACCTAGGTACTAGGTAAATAGTACCTATTCGTATGGTAGGGAAGTCCTTCGGTAAGGAGAACATACAAGCCTCGAGATCATCAGGTGGCTATTCAGCTGTCGCGGTGAACGTCAACCACCGGGCTTAAAGTGGTCACTGCACCGGACGGAAAAAGGTCGGTCGGACAGGGCGATCAACGTGAGGCGCAGGAATTGGCCCTGGCCTTGGACGTTGAGCTTGCGGGCTGCGACTGCGGGCTGCGGCGCGTGGGCGAGGGAAACGAGATGAGCTGTGGGTGCAGATCGTGGTTTCTCGTGGATTGTTGAATGGAGAGTGTACGAGACCGCATTGGATCTTGTCCAGTTATCCCGAAATTCAGGGTGTTCGTTATTTGACTTGCAGAGTGAGCCAGGGGCAACAAAGCACACGGGCGATCTACTGGCACGTTTCAGAGCACGGCGCCGAATTGTCCATTTGAGAGCAGTTTCACAGCATAAACCGGACTAGGAAAATACACTGGCTGGATTGCAGGGAATCATTCTACGCTCTGGCTTCTGTAACGTTGATCGACTACTGTAAGTAATAATAATAATATCATGCGCCTTGTTATTTCTAGTCTTTACGATGCCTCCAGCAGTCTTGGTATGGATGTGAAACCCGCCAAATAACAGGTACTCAATAAAACCTCCATTCGTCCACAGCCCAACAAGTAATACGAGATGCGTTGGCACATTGTCTGCTCTTTCCTCGCGTTACATTACCAACCATAGCGAATACTCCGGTCCGCTGGTTTTGGTAAGGCCGTCAACGATGTGCTGGATCTGCTGGGGAGGCTTTCAGCTGTCCATCGCTGGGCTGACCTCACTCCCTGCATCGGCGCCGGGTGCTGATTGGGGCCATAAGGGCTTAAGGCTGAAGAGGAAGCGAGAAACCTGAAGAGTCAGGTTAAGAAGAGGCAGCCAGTTTGTCCAGAAGAAATAGATTCACGGCCAAGAGTAGCCAGTAATTTACCCGGGTTGGGCAAAGGCAGCGCAGTTGTACAGGGAGTCAGAGTAGGACCTTGTGATGTTCTAGGTAAGACATGGGCAGGACATGTTGGTCGGTTGGCGTCATTGTATCTACCGAGTCATTGTTCATGTTGGAAATGGCAGAGAGATGATTGAGGACCCGAGGATGCTCTGCGGGACTTAAAAAAAAAAAAAGCACGAGTTCAAAATGACATCGCTGGAGGAGAGGAGTACAGCTAGAGACAACCCTCGGGACTCGAGAGAAGCGCTGCTTCGTGGCACGTGAATCAGTCTCTTGACCCCAGACAAACACAGCCAGCCAGCCCGGGCGCAAAGACGAAATACGTCGGCACAAACCAGCTCGATTGGGTGTCTCAGTAAGAGAGTGTTGCGAGCATTTCCACTTCTATCCTCTTCAGGTCGAAACGAGTGCGCCACCTGGGTCCCTCAGTTGACATACCACCAAGGTGCCAGGCCGCATGGATTTGGCAAGTCACCGATCACGACCTTGCTTTCTGCACAAGCCCGACGCTTGAGGCGCATTACGCGCATTCCTCAGGTTGCTCCATTGTACTCTTTCTTCTCACGGCTTCCCCGGTCCCTGTCAGAACGGCCCTTTGCCCTGCCTCGTTTGACGCGGGGACTCAAAAAGGGAACAGCATTACCAATGGAGCCCAGGCTTGTATCAGAGGAGTATCGTTATTAGTATGTGATGTGTATCAACAGCGTAAAGGAAACTGGGTCGAGATCTTCGAATGAAGTTGTCTCTTGGGCAAATCTTGGAATCGCTGTTATCCCTTCATTACTGACTGGAATGGGTCGCAGGCTGGCCCAACCCCGATCTCCTCACCCGGTCAACTGGGAGCCAATTATTCCCTGTGCGAACTTTGTTTCCCTTTTTGATTTCCCGGGGCCATTTCTCCTCATTTTTTTTTTTTTTTTTTTTNCTTTTTGGACCGAACTCAGACGCTTCTCTCGTGATATTTTGGGGCCCTCCACCGGCCTCCACTGGTCCTCCAGCTTTCGTTGGGAGGGCCGGGCACACCCGTGTCGTCCGACTTTAGCGCGTGAGCCGTACTCTGTAATACTGGTAACATAACTGATTCATTCTTCTTCTTGGACCTCAGTAACGAGTCGCTGCCACTCGGAGGCCAAAAGTGAGGAAGCGCTCCTGTCCAATCGATCATCTTCGATTTCCCGGTGGAGCGATCACCATATTTCGCCGGGGATAGGGCTGTTTCGAGTGACGGCGAGGTTTGAGGAGTCTACTGGAGATCTTGTGGGCTTGGACTCTCCCGTACCACGGCCCTGAAGATCATCATCACCCTGAGAAATCAATTTTTCCTCTGTTGAAACGGCACGGATGGCTACCCGTCGATTAAATAAGTAACTACTGTAGGACTTGTCGGAGCCTCGGAGTGCTGTTGGTGGCAAAAGACAGGGTGCCAGGGTGGGTTTGCTTATGCTGCTAAATTGTTAGATCGATGCCCTTTCTTGTACTTAATTAGCCTGACATAGCAATTCCGGGTTATTATTTCCACGGTGATACACTGGCATGCTGAGCGCTTTGCCATTTCACTCCGGGAATTGATTTGATATCACGTTGTGGCTGCACGAGAAGTCGATGAGTATCGGCTCGATACATCTCTCAGACAGACAAGGTAAATCTGCGGACGAGCAGTTGGCTATGCGGGTGATCTACCATCAGGAGACGATCCGCGACGATTGTTGGTATTTCGGTATGAAACACCAATCTCGGATTCCATAATTGTGAATGTCTGCCATCTATCGATTTCATCCGTGCGCTTGGTCCGGTTGAAAGTGTGGGGGCCTTTGGAAAATGGAGTCTTGAGTACGGCGCGCATTCGTGGTGGGAACGGTTGATTTCAAAGGTGTCGCGACGCCGCGGATAGCATGAGCTTCCCCAAGGTCGGCCGAACATCGCGCTCTGGGTTCCTTTTCATTTCTCAACCGCTCGGTCTCTTTCCGTTTGGGGTTGTCCGTCGAGGACGTAGTTGGTGCAAATATAATGCTTGACACCTGCGGAATCCGAGTTTCTTTCTTCCACGGCCTCGATGTGGGAGAGCTCAGGATGAACTCCACCCAGATAGGAAAGAGCAGTCGCGCGACGTCCAGATGGGACCTTTGACCATCACAACCTCAGGCACAAACCTGTAGACAGCTCTGTCGTTGATTCCCTCGAGTCTCGGGGTCCCAACAGAGTCAAGCTCAGCTCCATCGTGCTCTATACTTAGTATAAAAGCCATAGCCACTGCACCTGCCGTCCTGTCCGTGGCTGAGCATGTCATAGCTTCTCAACCGTCCGTGTTCAATTGGCCTAGAGTGCGTCGGTTGTCGAGATCGGCAGCAGAGGCTGTGACCGTTTGCGACTCTCAGTGCTAAACGGCCACGGCCTTTTATGAAATACCACGCACATCCACTTCAGCAGAGCCACAACATACCAGTACTGGCTGGCCTCGACGATACAGAAATACGGCCTGGAAACCAGGTCGCGTGCATGCCTGCTGGTAAAATTTGTATCAGCAAAGACCATGATTCAAAGAAGCGTCTAAACGGCATTTCAAATCCCTCGCTGGCAGACCCGTCGGGACGTCACTTCGGAGTCGGAACCCGTCATGGTCGTACAAGAAGGATGGTTCCAGTTCTTCAGGCAGGACTCTCCAATTCCTGGACCCGTTTCCCCTCACTCTTTCCCAGGCCCACTTTGCCAGTATCGGGAGTTAAATGTAGGATGCAATGGTTCTGTTTGTTACATCCAGATGGGCACACCCTACTACCAATCTCCTGATAGAATAATTAGAACAATGAGTCAATGACAGCCCTGAGACATGGATCAATGAACCTGGTGGTTCACGGCTCCCGGGTAGCGTGGGGCCTCTGGGTGGTACAGTTTGGGGGTTGTTCCAGCTGTTACATTTGTTATAATCGTTACAATCGTTACAGGGGCTGGATGGGGCCTGGCCAAGGAACCAGGTGACTGACAGATCACGCTCCGATCTCGATGCATTGAAAGCCATTCTGGCCCAAGAGATCAAGATCCAAGGGATTCAGGAGATCAGAAAGAAATATTTAGGTATCTGTTTGATCACCTCATTGTTATTTCAGAATTAATGGCGGCGATTTCGTTGTGCCATCAGTTTCAAGAGTCACGAAAGGCCGCATTGTGCTGCGGGTCAATCATGACTGACATGCGGAACTGCGTAATATTATTCTGGGCTCTGGGTCAAGTCTTCAAAGGCTGCCCTCCTCAATTAGTGCAACCATCATGACTCCAGAAGGCACGACCTGACTCCATTAAACGCGCCGCTCCTCATACTAGTGGCTGTACTATCATCCCTCCTTCCTATTATTGTTCGTCTCGCCCTTCTGATTGCTTTCCCGAAGAATCCTGTTGATTACGGCGATCATGGATGGTGCAGATTGCAGACAGTCAATCCCAGCAAACCTGGTATCCAATGGGCAAACATTTCCGCTTCAAAGGCGTTTGAGCTCAGCCAAGGGGGGGAGGGCAGATGGATGCAAGATGCGGGCAGTCTTCGGGGCCTGCAGCTTTGCGAAAATGGTAAAGAACAGAGGAGGATTAATTAATAATTAATTAAGGAACCAGGAGGGTAGTTACTTTCTTTGTTATTACTAGGTATTTATCGGTAATCCTCGCCGGAGCATTGATGCTCAGAGCAAGCCCAGATAATTACTGTCTTTTATTTTATTATTATTTATTTATTACGATTATTATAGCCCTTTCGAGTGCATGCGTGGGCGTGGAAAAGGGCCCCGGAACGACAATACGGACCAGAAACCAGAATACGGCCGTTCCCCACTCGCCTTGTCGGGTCCAGTGGTCGCCCTCACGCTCCGCCTTACGCTTCGTCCCAAGCCTGCTTTCTTCGGCATCATCTCATCTCATCTCGCCCTCTCCCTTCCGACTCTCTTTCCTTTCCTCTCTCACCCTCTTCCCCTCCTCGACCCTGGCCTCAGAACCCTTATGCCATGGGTCTTGCCTCTTCCCAACCCTCGTTTGCAGTTCCATACGCAAACTTTCCTTAACCTTGCAAGCCCTCAGTTGCTTGCTTCATGGCGTATTATTGTCTCAACTTTACCTCCCGTACGCTCGGCCGATGAACTGCAGTCCTCACGCTGCTACCCGTCCTTGTCTCGGTCCTCGAAACTAGACTCGCCTCCTCCCAATTCCCGTAATTCGGCCAGTCCTCCCCATCGTCTACAATAACTCGTCCTCGCTTCATGACGGGAGCTTCTTTGCTCTCCGACATGATGCCCTTCCTAGAAGTCCCGGAGACGGGGTTGTCTCTATGCAGAGACAACACCGGGGACGATACTGCAACCAAATCCACTCAAATAATGCGCCTGAATCTCGCCCAAAATACTCTCGACGAGCTGATTGAGAGCCTCCGTGCCGACCAGCCAGCTCGGCTCCGCCTCGGAAAGCACCAGGCCCTATACTACGGGACCAACAAATCACAGCACTTCCACTCCTCCTCCGAGTCCCATCGATCTGAGATCTACTCGAACAACTCCATCGACGACGAATTATACTTCACAGGTGTTTTAAGTCACAGTTTGGAGGTCCAGAAGGCCCAGGAGGCAACTGCGGCCACCGACCAGGCTTTGGCAAATCTTGAGCAGAGCTTGAGCGCCTTTGAAAGAGGGAAAGAATCCAAGAAAACACACATAATCACCGATATCTCGGAAGTAAGGGCCCTGCGAGCAGGTGACAGCCGTTCCAGCACTGGGAGGCAGGCTGCACTCCTTGCCCGCATGCCCTCAAGCAAGGTGGAGCTGGAGAAAGATCGATTGCTAAAGAACAAATCCAACCCGAATCGCTCAATATCTTCAAGCCCTGCTTTAGGCGTTGCCCGATCACCGATATCTATGGCACCTCTCACTCCAACCTCAGCACCGCCCTCTCAGAACAAAGACCGCCTCCGCCTCGAAGCCCTCAAGGTCCCTTTCATTCACCTCTTAGCCATCCGAGCCGTTTCTACCAAATTCATATCCCGACAAACCCGCGCCTCGATTGAAGACTGTGTCACTTTGGCCCAAAAATACGGAATCGAGAACCGAATCAACCCAGAGAAGTTCGACCTTCGAGATAAAGTATACCGAGAACTGGACGTGTGGAAATTCCCGTATCCATCTCAGGAAGACAGGCAGGAAGCAATCGAGAATGCTATCTCAGCATTCGATCGCATGAGACTGTCACGCTCCGATAAGTTGTGGCAAAGTTTACTCCCTAAGGAAGAACGCGGTAAAGGCAAGTGTTTATCGCGGCTGGACTTGCGAACAGGCCCAATCAAGAAGGCTGCTACACCCCGGATACAGATATCGGACGAAGCCGGCAAGGAAGGGGATACAACTAGTCAGGACACTGACAAATCTTCTGGAAGTGGTTTTAATTCTTCTAATGCTGCTCCGAAGTCCGGTATGAACACACAGAAGAAGCGGAATGATAAGGACCCTGCCGCCAAACGACCGACTGCGAAGAGCAAGACTGCCGCTAATAGCACCCTGACCGGCCGTGTGACCAAAAAATCGGACAAAAAGACGCCATCGAAATTGGAGGGCAAATTCAAGTCCGCGGAATATGTACACGACTCAGACGAAGATGATACTGATCTGCCAGATGGCTCATCTTCATCTGAGAAGTCGCAAACACAGCAGACGTTACCTAAGCCCAAACCGACCCCCAAGCCCGCTGAATCTAAAACTCCAATTGAGTTATCACATGTGCCCACACCGAAAACTGACGAGGCCGATGCGCGACCATCCAAAGCCGACTCTTCGTCCAGCAGCAAGAATCCTACAACCAAGCGCCCACCAGCGTCCTTACCTCCTAACCAGAAGTCTCCGCAAAAGCCTTCGCAAAAAGCACCAGCTCCCGCCCGGTCACCCGCCTCCACCGATCCCCCAAATCGCAGCCGATCGTCCAGCCAAAACAATTCAACTAGCTCGTCATCCTCATCTCCCTTGATAACTCAATTATCAAGACCGCGTGTCAATACAGAGCGATCCGCCGCGAAGCAACCCGCCAAGCCGAATGGAGCGGTAAAAGCAGTTGAGACCACAAATTCATTGAAACGCAAAGCAGAGATAGAGCGGCCATCGATTCACAATGCTGGCTGTCTGCATGGCGATATTGATCACAAGCGACGTCGGGGAGTGAGCACATCGAGTGGCAGCACGGGCAGTGCGTCACCACCTCTTAGCCGTGAATTGCTTATGCAGCAGTTACGGGAGAAGTCCCAGAAGTTCAAGCGGTTTTATGCCAAGTATCGCTCGTTACATGATGCCATGGCAGCCCATTCAAACCCTCCACGCGCAGAACTGGAGAAGCTACAGAAGCAGCATAGCAGACTTCAGTTAATGAAGGAAGAAATCTGGGATGAAGATCGACGGCTCCGAAGCGGGCTCTGATAGTTCCGGCTTAGCAAGATTCTTATGCATCATTGCTTCTTTTTATACATATCAGAATTGGTTATTACAGCACAGTTCACGGCTACTTACATACACTCTACCACCATTGCTTTTTACTTGGCCCGTCGTTTTTTTTTATTTTATTTTTTTTATTTTCTGCATCGCATTCTCAGCGTGAGGCATTATCTCGGAAATTCTTTTTTTGAGGCGTTTTACCGGAACACCAGCTATACTTTGAACTTTGCATTATTGCATGAGACTGCTAAAAACCTGTCGTCAATATATCTAAGAGGACATGTCCGGGCATGGATTTTGATACATAGAAACGAGTGGGCCTGGGCCTGAAATCAAATAGAACTTTCAAAAATAGACATCTGCTGAAGCTGCCTTTAAGTCCCTATTATTCCATCGTTCACAGCGTAGCCTATTCCTTAATCTCGGGACCCAATCGATTTCGGCTTACCCCTCCGTGGCTAAATTCTGAATTTTGGGGTCATCCATTTCTGGAGATGAGTAACTTCCCAAGCGAGATTTGAAGTGACCGCTCAACGACGATTCAAGACGCCCCGAATTTTTCCCCCTTAAATCATGATAGACATAAAAAGTAGGACGCGACTGTGCAAAACGCAGCAATTGATATACTTGGACATCTGCCGCGGCCTATACCGAGCTTCCGATCGCCTCGAACCGAGTAAAATTACCCCAGATCGACCAGACTTAATGCACTGCAGAGTTCCAGTTCAGCGAAGGTCATTGGGGCCGTCCCGCTAAGCCTGATTCAAGAATCTGCCCCACCCACACGTGGCTGGCACCTGTTTCAGTACCGGTAAATTGCGTGGAACTCGCTCTCTGGGCTGGAATAGGCGTACCGGCTCTGTATCATGCATTCCCGCTGTATTAAAGGCAGAAAGAGGCCGCCCACGTCATTGACTTTTGCCGTCATTTACCGCCCTGCACCGTGGGACACCTTTTTTCTTTGGGAAAGCGGTGGGGAGAGACAATGAAGCCATACTTTCCTGATTCTTCGCTGAATGAGTTGCTGCTATGTCACCATTGGATAGAGCCAAGACGCTCCATGGGTCATCATTATAGAAGACGTTGAGCTTCCGAACACGAGCGTGGGACGTACTCAATTTCCGAATTTGGGATCCTGTTCTATTCTATCGAGACTTGGTCTCATTTTGATATTCATAACTAAGCTGTCATTCCGCGACCATGTCATCCTCAAGAGGTCGTGGCCCAAACCAGAGGAGCCCTCATGTCCTGGTAATACCTATATTTGAAGACTTCAACCTTTCAAGGAAACTTTACTTATCCATATAATTCCAGGTGACTGACTCCCGAGATCAACAACCGTCCGCCCAACCCCGTCGTCGCCGCTCTCCGACTACCCGCTTCATCACCGTCGATAATGTCCTCCAATACGCCTCCGACGTACCATCAATGCAGCAACGGAATCCGCCCGATTCAACACGACAGCGACCGCGATCCCGACTCGCATCAGCAGCAGGTGGGTTAATTGGGTCAAGCGCGGGACATGGGGGTCGGAGTACCAGTAGCAGTGCCAATGCATCGAGCACGGCAGCCGCAATTAGACGATTAGCAGCGCAACCACAGCTCCCCCCTCGCACGACTAAAGTTAGCGAGAAACTCGTACTGCTCCCCGAGGAAGGAGTAGAGCCACATCCTGAGGAGGAAGAGGAAGAGGGAGAACACGAAATTGACGATGAGACGGTCGACGAAGAATTGGTGCAGCGGGTTGCGAGGGAGAAGAATCTCGATCCCGACTCTGTGAGGCACACGCTGATAGTGCAGAAGAAGAGACTGCATGGCGATTTTGGCGTCGATAATGACCTGGCTCCGCTCTTGGCGGAGGAGGAGAGGCTGCGCCAACGGGTGACTGGACCGAAGAGGTCGAAGAGCTATGCAGAGAGATTGCCCAAGGCCCGTCGCGCAGAGAAACTGGCCCGTGTTACGGCTTACTGCACTGCGCAGGCTTATAAGATGAGTTCTATCTCTTCGTTCGTCAGGGATAGACACGGTGGCAGAACGAAACTATACGATGATTGTCTGTATACGGCCTACCATCTGCCTTTGCTTCCGGGAAATGACGGATACAGAGTGCGGAGCAGTCCAGTCGTAAAGAAGCCTGGTGGCAAGTCATTGTTGGATGAGGAAATAGAGCGCAATGAGTTGCGAGATTACCATGACGAGTATATGGAGTCCAGCGAGCATACCGTTTTCGACAGTCGGTCCCATGCGGATGATCACGAGGAGCATGCGCAAGATAACCACCATGGAGTCTCAGATGTCCATCACGACACCACGGGTGACGACCATTTATCCCCCAATAGCGTCGAACCCACGAGCCTTCCATACAATGTTGCGGAGATGTTCGTATTCAGCTATGGGGTAGTCGTATTCTGGAACTTGTCTGCGAAGCAAGAAAAGGATATTCTTGCCGATCTGGCATTTGCAACGTCGTCTGCGACTGGCTCGCCCATAACCCTAGCAACCTTGCCACTCCTAGAAGAGGACTTTGAGACCGAGGAGTTTCATTTTGAGTACTCGACCGAGATATCTCGCCCGCGCGTTTATAACGATATGATCACCTTACGAAGCGGCGACCACATGATCAAGCTAGCCATAAGTCATGGCATAGCCCAAAGCACGAAGCTCTGTTTCTTCGAAGAAGTAATGGCCCGCCAGATGGCCGAGGCCAAGGATGTTCCCCGTCGTCTTGCCATTAATGGGACACTAGGCATGAAGCGAGAAGAAGTATTCCGCATTTTAGGAAAACTATTCAAGAGCCGAGTAGAGGTCAATCTTTGTATGTTCATTCTATCCCTACCCTTTAAATTCACTGGGTTGGAAAAGCATCACTAACCAACCTACTACAGCTTCAAATGTCCTCGACGTTCCCAACTTCTTCTGGGAAAGCGAACCAACCCTTTATCCACTTTATATCGCTGTTCGAGAATACCTTGAAATCAAACCGCGAATCCAAGTCCTCAATGAACGATGCCGCGTCTTCCTAGACCTGGCTGAGATCCTCTCTGACTCCATCGCTGATAACAAAACATCCCGTGCGTTCTCCCCAACACAAGAACTTAAAATTCAAACTAGAGGAAAAATAACTAACGAAATTATCACCGTATCCACAAACAGATCAAACATGGATTATCATTGTCCTAATTCTCATTTCCATTGTCGTCACCATCTCCGAGGTCTTTCTCCGATTTGCCCTCCTCTCTGCAGGGAAGGAGACATCCGTTACCGGATTCGGCGTTGGCTTGGTCGCCAGAGCTCTACGTGGTTCCTCCTCTTCCCAAGTTTGCAACTGCGCTTGTCCGGATGTTATGAACTCGGGTGCCAATTTCTCAGGATTAACCTAGGGTTATCATCCGTGGTGGAGAGAGAAGATTTCGTCCACTTTCGCATTCTATTTCCACAACCAGTCGTCTACTTTATTGGTTTCAAGGTGCTGGCGTTCAAACCTAGAACAAGTGCGTTTTTCGTGAATGTATGTTTCATGGGAAGGGTGGAGTTTTTGGGTGTTCTCTGATTCCAAATATGAATTCCAGTCCGCAGCTATACAAAGTGTATATAGCTGAATAATAAGAAACAATCCACACATATACAAGACAGTCGGTCTAACTACACTACGGGATTAACCTTTTGCTTCTGTTTATGCTATGGTATCACATTATATGGTATATCAGATATTAGTCTATCGTACATAGAAGTATTCATTTACAGACAAATGGAAAACATGAACATTAACGATATCAGAATCAAAAAGCAGACAAGGGGGAAAAAAAAAGAGGAAAAAAAAGAGGGAAAAAAAAAAAAAAAAAAAAAAACTTGTGCAAACCATGTAAGCAAAATATAAACCTTCCTAACCCCAGTGTCCCAGTTCCATTCCCACGCGAGCCCAAAACCCAGCCGAGCCTTGATCAGAGACAAAAAAAAAGAAACAAAACCAAACAATAAACCCATTTCCCACTCTATAGATGCTTCGTTTCCTTGGTCATAATCGCACATTAGGGCCACAAATCAGGCTGATGATAACAAGAGAATCACAACGCCCCATTATGGCGATAATAACCAACCAACCAACCCAGCTTAGCCAGTCCCAGACTCCTTTTCCAGCGTTTTATACCCGACACTGGGAGATGCTAACATGATGGTATGCTGAATGAAATGACACGGCAATGTATAAGTAGATGCAAAACACGCGAACAATGATAATTTCAAAACAGAGTAGAAAATGCACGCGACAATTGGTAACAACAAAACAAAAGGAAATTTATTGCTGTAATCCATAGCTTTGAATGGATTGGATAGAGGCTTCTTTCCCGCATGGAAAAGTAAACCTAGACCGATGTTGGCCACGCGTTGTCGCCAAGCTTCGGTCTCAGCTCATAGTTCTCTGGCTCTGTACTTGCGGGCCGCCGAATTGTGGAATTCGGGAAATACATATGGGGGGGTACGGAGCCTGGGTACGACGGCCCAGTAGGCTCAGGATATCCGAAATCGGGCGCCGAAACAGGCGACGGTATGTTGGAATGAGAAGGAGAACCCCATCCAATACTAGTCATATGGGGACTCCCACTAACACTGTTTGGCCGATGATCTTTGTTGGCAGGCGGCTCAAGCGGTTGAGGAGGCCCATAACCCGACGGGTGAGACGTCATAGATGGTCGAGGCAGTGGAGCACTGCTGAAGCTTGATAGGGATGGAGACGTCGCCGTGGGAGATGCACGAGGACTCGCCTGTTGAAAGTCCCCTCGGACGTGGGGTGGGATGGAACCATTCCCTAGGTAGTAATCACCCGCAGAACGGGGAATGTTCAGAGGCGGAAGATCACCACCCGGGGAGATCGGGTGATGGCCGGGGGAAGGTGTTGAATGAACGGAGCCTTCAGAGAACATCCCGTCACCAGGCATCCTGCCTCGTTCCTTATTTTGTCGGAGGTTGGCCTCGGTCTCCGCAGCAGCTTCTTCGATGGTGCCGGTGTGGTGGTTTTGGTGGCGCGTCAGTGTTGTACGGCGTGTGAAAGTCTTTTGGCAGTTCGCATAAGGACACTTGTAGGGTCGCTTCCCGGAGTGGATCCTGCGATGTCTAGCTAAAGAGGACGAATCGCTAAAAGGCTGCAGAAACGAATCAATAATTAGCACCAGGATCCATTTTTGGATTAGCAGATTGACATACCTTGCCGCATCTTTCACACATATGCGGTTTCTCACCTGTGTGTACCCGGGAATGTACAGTCAGAGCAGAGCGCTGAATGAATTGTTTGCCGCAGCCGGGCCAATCGCAGGCGTGAGGACGAACGCCCGAGTGAATTCGTTCTAAAAACATGTCAAAAATTGAAATTTTCCAGGTGACCGCATGTATGGGAGCTCGCTTACCATGCCTTGCCAAGTCACTCCGACGCGCAAACCCTTTGCCGCAAGTACCGCAGTGAAAGGTTTTGGGAGGGGGATCCGGTCGTCCTTGGGGCACACTGTTCGGGATTTGGGTCGCAGAATATCCCGCAGGGGCATAAGGGCTTTGCAACATGGGTAGTTGAGGGTTGGATGGTTGAGTCGCATATCGCATGTCTTGGTTGATATTCGGCATCTGATTCAGCGGAGCGTGGGGAGGATATGAGAGGACCGGCTGATCAACCGCCTCGGACACACCGGGTTCTGACTTCATCCTTGGGGAAGACGAATGACCAAGATTTTGGGCTTGCATGAACTGTTGCTGGTCAAACTGAGCGTCTGGCGCAACCATGGCCACAGAAGCTTTCCTGTTTAAAATGTTTGTGATCTCCATGGCCCGGCTCAGCTGTCTGCTGAGGAACGGTAGTCAGGACAAATCGGAGTGGTATTCCAGGGTAGCCTGTGTGACGCGCAGCGGTAGAACCCACGCCGGAGTTCTTTTTTGAGTTGGAAACGCGACAAATAGACTTTGCAGGAAGTCGGAGTGCGAAGCAACGTTTTCCCCAAAGCTTTTAGTGCCTAAACTTGCTAAGAAACATCGTCAACACAGTTTCGGCTTGTGTCGGGTTTCTGACATGCTTGGATGGAGGGAAAAGACCAAAGACGACAACAAAACAAAGCCATGACGCAAGCGCAGCTGCGCAACGAGGAAAAATTGTATACAAAAGCAAATGATATGGAGTTTACTTACGTGTAACTCGGACAGCCGTAGCTCAGTAAAAGGTGACAATACAATGGGACGCCCGTCGAGCTTCAAGAAAGCAGAGCAGCAACAGCGGCTCGCAAGGGTGCAGAAGTCGATCCCAGGTTCAAGGCTCCAATTCCAATCTCAAGTTTCTCGAGTTTCTCGAGTCGCGATTGAGTGCGAAGCAGCGGGTGAGATTAGAGCGGACACGTCAATCTCAGCCGTTCACAGCCCGACAAAGCTCAGCCACTATCTCAAACTCGGTTACTCTTTTTCTCGGCTATAGCTGTAGGCAGCGACCGGAATACGCGGCGATGGAAATGGTTTGAAAACGAGCACGGCGCGATGGTGGGCGAACAGTTGCGACGTTTCGGACCAAGGCGATCTATTATGACAGTTGGGCCAACACGATCGACGACTGGGTTGCCACCAACACGGGATCCTGGAGACGAGCGGATGATGGGGTTCTAGTGGTTATAAGCGATACTTCGAATGATTCGGAGCGCAGAACGTGGTCCGGTATGATTCAGCTGTAGAGGATGTGACAAAGCCGTTAGCACAATGCTCAAGCAAAAGTTCTCCCGCGCGTCCTCTTTGCGAGCGCGCCCAGTAATCGCGGTCGGTGGTATGACTTTGAAGAGGATGCGGTGTAGAAGAGGAGGAAAATGTCGCGTTCTGATCCCGACTGGCAAGAATCAAACTAGGCCAGCCCATTACTGGCCAAGAAAAGGGACATTCTGCGGGCAGCCGGCGGACAGGGAGGAGGCATGACGGAGGAGACGGAGGAGCTGGGGAGGGCACCCACTCGGGGCTGCGTCATCGCCGGCGTCGGGAGCACGCATCGTCGGGGCAAGCAAAGAGAGAGACAAACTTACAGAGGACGTAGATCTGGTGGATGAGACTGGCACCGCGGAGGGGCCTGGCAGCAGGGGAAGAAGAAGAGAGAAGGTCGCGGAGCAAGTAAATAAGAGACAAAAACGGCAGAACGGGAAGAAGACTCGTGACTTGGCGGCCTGGAGACTGGCAGGGAGATCCGATCAGATCTGCTGGGAAGCGGTGGTGTTTATTATTATTATTATCAGAGAATACAAAGGAAGAGGGAATCGAGGTACAGCCCGAAATATTAATAGTAAGATAGCGGGAAATTGACGCAGGTTTCAGGCTCTTCCCATCCATCTTCACCCCAGCGGCCTCATCTTTACGGTGGATACACGACGATCGAATGGGCCACTCGTTCTTGATCGTTGAAACTGATGTGCGAGTCAACCACACCTGCTGCGCATCACCGATGGCCCTCCGGATGGAGCATCGCAGACCCTGAATAACCTCATTCTGATATTCAGGAGCGCTCCCGCTTGGATCTGATGCAATCGACGCTTCGATCCAGACGATGAACGCATGACCCTGTGAGGCAGCGCAACCTAAGGCAAGCCTCTTCTAATCTAATTCTTAATTTCTTTGCCAGGTAATAGTGGCATGCACTGCGTTAACGTGCGCATCGTGCGACGAGACGATCGTTTTGAATCCAATCAGACCTGGAGCCCCAGCCAGCCGAGCAACTCCATCGATTGCCATTGCTCCATTATCCCATTAGTTTAGGCTGTCGGGTGCAGACGTCGATTTCGATGCATCTTGATTACTCTTCAAGAAAAAAAGCAATTCACCCTCCCCTCTACGTGCGGGCTCTTGAACCTCAAAACGAACTCGTTCGCCCACACCCAGTCGGTATATTGTCGGGAACGTATCCTCGTGAGGCATATTCTGAGCGCGACGTGTCTGCCAATCATAAACAGAGACTTTCTGGCGATAAAGGAGCAGTTCCCCTTTCGGGGCGAGATTCGCACAGAACAACGGCGCAAAGCTAATTTCCTTCTAGAAAGTTTCGAACTGGGCACCGCGTGGCACGTTGGACCGCATGGGGAAGGCCATCATCGTTGCGACCAACCTACGTCAGACCTTCAGGGGGTACGAACCAGAGTGGATTCTCTAGTCTGCGCAAGTGCGCATTCCGGGCTCACGGAGGTTACTTGATCAGACAGGGGCCTCACCCCTGCCTCACGCGGGCGTTAGTCCGCTACACTATTCCTCCTAGTGGAGGGGACGGAGAAGATGTGAAGGTTGTGACTCGCGAATCTGCGACGGCATTTCGCTTCGAAGAAAGGGGATTGGGCAAGGGGGCCCGTCCAGCCTGCTTTCCCAACGTGGGAAAATGCCATCCACGCTAGGGTCACAAAGCGGACTCGAACAGCACGCTAGAGCAGTCCACTTCCTTCGAAAGAGCTTCTAGAAAGAAAAGGGGACTCCATCCACGATTCGCCTCGAGGCTGCTCCAGTCACCAGTGCTCTCGCCCAATGCCGCCTTAACGGCCGGGTCGGAGCCCATCTGTTGAACGAAAATGGTCACGCTGGTGTGACAACACCAAGCACAAATACGTCCGTGGGATACTGTCTAACCTGGGATTATTTCTAGCTGCAACTGCGGCAATTCTCAACTTCCTCCTACCCCCTCCTTTTTTTTTTTTTTTTTTTTTTTTTAGCCATTCTCTTTTCCGTCCTCGCCCAAACCGATGCCGCCATCCAGGAACAGGATGGTTATTTTTTGTCTGCAGAAGTCCGTGATGAGTTGATGGAGTGAATCGGTGGTTCAAAGGATCTGCCCCACGCATTGGGCATTTTCAGGTTTAGTTTGTTTTTGCTCAGCCGCTCCAGCTCATTAGTGAACTGACAAGGATCATTAATAATAATTTCAGGGCCCACTCCATCTCTGAAATAGCACTGGAATCGGAAAAGGAAACTCAGGGGGTCTCGATCGTGTTGAAAGGGCAGGAGCCTGCTGAGTATTGACAACTTGAGAGCATGAAATCAAGGCAAAGAAGGCGCCAGGCACACCGGGACTTTCCCGCGGGTTTGGACGAGTTTCTGCCATGCAATTTCTGGAAGCCTTCTAGATCCCCATCTTGGTATAGAGGTGCTCCACAACCTGTGCACATCCTTCTTTCGGTTTGTTCGGTCTTGTTTACTCACACTCCTTGTAGTGTTTATACTTGCAATTGCAAGGCATTCCCAGCCACAGCAACGCTGATCACTTACCGCCGCTTCGGCCTGTTCTTCGTAACCCTACCACAGCTCCACAAGACGATTCGTTCGTTCAAGTCTACACCGTACAAACTGCTGCCAGGCTACTCCTTGCTACCTCGTACCTACACCTTTGTACCAACCGCATACCTTCACCTCCTGGTCAGTACGTGGTATGCAGCAAATCCTCCTTGAAACCATATCATACGCGAATGATACGCCTTCTCTCACGACAGCTCAGTTACTCGTCCAAGGAGAGGGTTTCCCGTGAACACGGCGCGTACGTACCACAAGTCACAATCAGCCAACAAGGCCCATAAAACAATGTACCTTCTTGGGCTTGCCATACCCACCATCCATGCCGGGTAGCGTTGAAACAACTAGCCAACGAACTTCCAAACATAGTAACATCACTTCCATCACCCGTCCAGTGCAGTTCAGCTTTACTCCAATATCTCACTCTATTATACATGTTGCAGACCCGCCACGAGGAGAAACATGAGCAAACGTCTTCCGTTGTACAGACTGACAAGTAAATCACAGACTCACGGTCACCGTCGATCCTTCGCCATACGAATGATGATCATCAATGACATAGTCTAACTGTCTCAGTCTACTCCGTACTCCATACTGTACTCCATAATAATCATCCAAGGCGTGACTCCTGAAGGCCCACTACGGTACGACAAGAGGAGGCAGAAACCCGAAGCAGAAGCCTTCTAGAAGATGCGAAGAATAGGATCTGCCTCTGGAGGAAAAGTCTCCGTGCTATTATTACGTAGTGTCCACCGCCGTTTAGGGGCTGAAGTGGATCGAACTAGACCGGTCGTATTTCAGAATGGTCCGTGTCTGGAATCTCTGGATGATTCCGATAGTCTTCTGAGCTTCCACGGGCCTCCCGGATCCCTGGAGGCTGGAGCCCTGGATATTCGGACCTTCGTGCAGCCAGGACGCATGTACTTTGCGCCGATACTCCGCAGGTGCTCCTTGGCATGCTGGTTTTAGATTAACCCCCGGCAGGATGCGCCGTGAAAACACTAATTGATTGGCATTGAATTGCTAATGGGGCTTTCGCCTCCCCCATTCGTTCTCGGTTTTTGTTGAGACTTGGGACTGACCAATATTGAGCAAACCATACTTTAATTTCAAACAAGAAGGAGCTAACGGCGTCGGGGATTCCTTGCTCCTACCCTATCAGGGCGACAGATTCATCAATTTTCAGGAAGGAGCAGCCCGAGGCCATCGCACTTTCCCTGTTGGGAAAACAGTTTGAACTCTGGTGCGGGAAGGTGGGATGGTGATCTGGTTGCAATGGGAAGGAACAATGAGCACCTTGCTCTTGCCTTGCCCGGTAGATGCTAAATCTGCGGTTCAAACAAAGATCTGACTTTACTACCCTTGGCTCTCCAAACAACCACATATCAATTCTGCGATATGCCGATATCCAGCCATCAACTGCTCATTGTCATCACCCAATGTCAGAGACAGGAACTGCTTCTCCTGCTCGCGAGCCTCAACAGTCTGCCATACGTGCACTCTCCCTTCTGCGAGCTCGTACCGCACCTCGGCCCCGTCGCGCCGCGAAGCCTCCACGAACTCTTCTATATCGAAACGGAATAAGGGCTCTGCGGTACCCGCTGAGACCCACGTTTTCGCCGGTAAGATGTCTTTCCACGAACCGCGCTCTCGGACTATGCGTGCGAAGTTCCCGTGTAGCTTTATATAGTCTGGTGATGCCCCGTGCAGGGCAAGGATGGCGAAGCGCCCAAGAACGTGCTTGAATGCGGCACTGCGCGGATCGAGTTCTTGATGATTTGCGTGTGCGTCGGGCCCGCAAGGGTCCAAGTTTACCCAGGGACTGATCAAGAATGCTGCATCAGGCTTCGGGAGGGCAGAAGACTTCTCAGGCCCAAGAGACTGCTGGTATAGGGCTGTGAGGAGAGAGATGATTAGATGTCCACCAGCTGATTCGCCGATGAGGTATAGTTTGGACGGATTGATGTGTATTTCGCTTACGAGCCAAGCATATGCGGCCATTGCTTGGTCGAGTTGTGTTGGCAGCGGCGCATTGGGTGCGAGAGTGTAATCGAGTGAAAATATGGCCACCGAATGATTGCGCCGTGACAGCGCCTCTGCGACGAGAAGTAGTTCAGTTGCGTTTTCAAGCGGGTGACCCATAACATAGCCTCCACCGTGCAAATGGAAGAGTACGAGGTCTGCATCCTGGGGCGAAGATTCGGTTGATAGATCACGGTAGATCCAGTATCCGGCAAAGCGAGGTTTTCGTACCCTCTCTAGGACTTGGAACGGCGTATTGGCGTATCGTACGGACTGTCTGATAATGTCTCCAGTCTTTTCGCTTACGCGCTGGATCACCGACACCGGAACATGAAGGCCGAGACTAGATGAATAGATTAGTATGCTATAGAGCCTCGTGAGTTCTGCTTTGCCAATACGCACCATAAGAGAAGGTTATGACCGATTTGCTCCTTCACGGCACTCCACCGAAGCACTGTGCTCGGATTGCATAGCGATGAGAGTACCGACAGGGGCGCATATACCACCAATGTGACCAAAGTCCAGCAGATGTCCCAAGCGGACACTCTGAACGGGTTGGGGTCGCAGTCGTAGGTTTCGGGTTCATTAAGCATGGCCAAGCACTTTACTAGCGAGACAAAACTGTCGACACTTGGCTGATACCCAGAGAGGATACGGATACAACGAACCAAGTCCTCGTGGTGAATCGGCACTTCAGAGTCGCCTGTCGATCAGCCAGGGAGCCCGTACCGAATTTCGGCAGATAAATCCTATAATCTCGTGTACCTCTGCTTGTCCAAGAAGCAACAAGGTACGGTGTACAGAGTACAGACACAAGCCAAGGTTCCAAGCGATTGAAGGAAAGTGAGGTCCGAGCATCCGCAATCATTTATCTATTTTGGAGATGAAACGCATTGTCCTGGAGTTAAATGAGGGAGAACAAGCTTCTGATACAATGCCGTTGTTTCATCTCGGTACTTCTGCGCCTGTGAATCCCTGCCGATCTATCATCCGGATAATTTCCTTAGTTGATGCAAGTTTCGGCCATCTGACGCACATAGCATCTGAGCCAAGGGGTATGATGTAAAGTGTTGCTAAAGAAAGATGCATGTGAGGCCAGAGACCGAGGGCTGCTAGCCTGCTTGTATCCAAAGTCTTGGCGTGTTTGTTCCAGATCGCCCATTTTCTCCATCGCGGTTCAATCAATTCAATCAACAGTAAAGCCGCTGAGGATTGGCTCGCCCACGAAAACCACTGGATCTATCATGGTGAGTACTCTACTGGCTCAGTTCTCAACAAATGAATTGATCAGGGACATTCTAACCAACCCCAGATAACGCCATCCCAATAACATCCCATCCTCCCATCCCGCCGCAGCATTTACCCACCCACATCCAAATAATCTCGAGCTGGAGCTTTCCAAGCTCCCAGCGAAATGACAATCGCAATGGTAATGGCACCAGCAAGGCCAGCACTCCGTACCGCCTGTCATGTCATCCGGTCCCTCCCCCGCCGCTCTCACTCAACTACCACCTCGTCCGTCTCTGCCTCCGAAGTCTCCCATTTCTCCTCTCTCGCCAGCTCTTGGTGGGATCCCATGGGGCCCTCACGAGTGCTTCACCTCATGAACCCTCTTCGTCACGACTTCATCGCCTCCTGCCTCTTTGATTCTTCCCCGGACTTCCCCGCGCCACAACCTGGCACAACCCCGAACACCCTTCATTACCTCGACGTTGGCTGCGGTGGTGGCATCTTCGCTGAATCGCTCGCGCGCACCATCCCACACCCACAATCAGCCGAGTCCGAAACACCAACCGTCACTCGCGCTGCCTCAATAACAGCCATTGACCCCACGACAACCCTCATCCAGATTGCGCGCGACCACGCCCGCAAAGACCCGAAGGTGTCTGCGCACTTGAACGATGGCCGGTTTCGGTATGTGAACTGTACGCTGGAGGACGTGATCGCCTCGCGAAATGCACATAAATCGTCGGATTCTTCAGCAGCCACTGGCGCGGTCGGGGAGGGCGTGGGAAGGAAAGACGGCTACGATATGATAACCCTCTTTGAAGTCATTGAGCACATCGACACAAACGCCTCGATCTCCCCCCTCACCTTCTTAACGGACTGCCTACGCCTCCTTAAACCTGGCGGATGGCTCGTTGGGTCAACAATTGCCCGGACTTTGCCGTCATTCCTGATCAACCAGGTTATTGCCGAGGCGCCGTGGCCAATTGGTGTAGTCCCGCGGGGGACACATGAGTGGAAAAAGTTCGTCAACCCCGACGAACTGGAAGGCTGGGCGAGCGAGGGTTTGATGCGGAGTGCGGACATAGAACGAAACTCAGTCATGAGAAGTGGAAGTGAGGCACTCGACGGGATGAGGTGGAAGTGTGCTGGCGTGGTGTATTTCCCTGGGTTCGGGTGGAAGTTTGTGCCTGGGTCTGAGAGTTGGGGAAATTATTTCTGGGCTGTGAGGAAGGGTTTGTAGACGTGGGCTGCACTTGTTTATTTAACTTGTATTATATACATTGTACGAGATAGTAGAGCTACTGTATTATAGGAACTTATGGAACTGGTACTGATGGGTATCCATTCTATTCCTCTTCTAGAAAATCCTTGTTTTCTGATCGTCCGTTAAGCAAGGCGCTCAAAAGCTAGACTGAGATGGGCATTTCAATAAATCAAGTTAATCACTTCTTCTTCCCTTTCCCCTTCTTCTTCGAACTACTCGGCGGATCAGGAACACTGACAGTCCCCTGCACAATCTCCTCGCCCTGGTCCTTCAGCTTCTCCGACCCACTAATAAAGAAAGTCAAGTCCCGGTTCTGCTCAGCGAGATCAACGTTGCTCGCCTTGAGCGTCTCAACCTCCGTCGAGAGATGTCCAATCCGTTCCATGAGACTCTCATTCATGGTCTTCTCCTCACGCCACTCACGCTCCATCTTCCGCGCCATGGTCTCGAATTTCTCCGCGCGCTTCTCAGCCCGCACTTTGTCGCGCTCTAGGCCTGGTACAGTTTCGTTGTTGAATTTATCGTGTTCGACCTGGAGACTGCGGAGGGTTGCCGTGGCGGTGTCTGCGGCTTCTTGGGCTAAAGATGCAGCTGCACTGGCTTGGGACGCTTTGTCGACCGCGCGTTCGAGTATCCCTTCAAAGTACGCGCGCTGGCTTTCGAGTTGGCTGGTGAGGAGATGGGTGTATTCAACGCTCATGTTTTCGAGTTTCTCACGGGGAACTGCGTCGGTCCAATCTGGAGGATCGAGCGCACTGTTATCTGCCGCGGGAAGCTCGACGAGCTTGCCGTCCGTCTTGCTCTGGATGATGCGGTGCACGTATGCATCTCCGACGTAGTCCCAGACCCGCTGGGTTGAGAGATCCATGGCAAAGGTGTGTGAGGTTTGGGTGTAATGGGCGAAGGCATGAGCGCTATCGTATCGTCCACATCCTACATTTCCGCAGATGAGACAGACCCAGAGGTTGACGTCCGAGTGGCATACGCTGCATTCGGCAGTTTCATCATCAAATGGGAGGCTTTGGCTCGTCTTGCGAAAATCATCTTGTGTATAACGACATACGGGACAACCACTGCCTTTCCACTTCTGGAGGCATGTACAATGGAAAACGTGTTGACATATGATAGTGAGCAGGCCGGTAGTCTCATCCATCCGCTCCAGACAAACGGGGCACGTAGGTAACTCAATCAACGACGGTGTTGGAGGGGCTAGGGGCTTTGTTGAAAGCGTTGCGGAGCCTATACTCCCCGGTTGCGATGGCGATGATGCACTGGTTCGTTGGCCAGATGTAGCTGGGTGTGACGGCAGTGCAGCTTGCTGCTTCGGCGACATTCGACTCTCAATAATCGGATCTACACCCTGAATCTCAACCGTCTTCACAAAGACAACATGGCACGTTTCGGGCTAAATAGAACCAACTGTCAGTATCACGATCCCTACCACAATAAGCGCAATAAGTAAACGCACCTCCATGCTATTGAAAACCTTCCCATTCCACACTCTCTGCCATTCCTTGGCCTTCTTCCCACTCCTAAATTTCATCAAAACCATATACCGATTCGCCCTCGCCGTCCGTATCATCCGGAAATGACTAACATCGTCCATCGTCGCCTCACCCACAAACCCTAACAAATCAGATGCAGACATGTAAGACGGTACAGCAAGTATACAGAGCGTTGTGCACTCCTCATCAGGTTGTGAAGTTGTCCCTCCAATACCGCGCGGTCGCAACTTACTGCTGCTGCTGCCGCCGCTATCTTCTCCTCCAAGGCCATGTTCAGCAACCGACTGCCTCGCAGCCGCAGCAGAAGAGCCCTTCAGTTCAGCCGGATACTCATCCGCGCCTAGAAACGGCGTCTCCTGCGCATCGCGGTATAGATGTACAATCCCCCAAACACTGTCCGACGTTTTCTGATCGAGCGGCGTATACTGGCCCTTCGTGCGGAGACCACCCAGTATATCTGTTCCGATGCCCGTTGTGACCGGGTCCTCCCTGGTTGAAGGGACCATGTCGATGCACTCGATAGATACTTTATCTAGCCGGAGATCGTCCTTCAGATCAGATGCGCTTGCGGGTAGTTTGGTATAGGGCGGCAGTGAGGACGAAGACGTATATGAGGGATTTGTGTTTGATGCGGGGTAGCTATGGAATTCGTTAGAGGCGTCGGGGGCGTCAGGGGAGTCCCATCGGTGTTTTCTGTGCGTCTGATTGCGAAGGTTTCGGTTTGTTGAGATTGACGGTCGCTTCTGGAAGGGGAGGAGAGCTTCGCATGCGGACTCAAAAGAGAGAGAGGTAGTCGAGGCTGGATCTTTGCTAAAGCTATTCAGGTCGGACTGAGGTCGTGAGAAGAGTTCAATCGCGAGATGATAGAAATAGGAGGGCATCCCGGCCGATTGTGCATGTTGTTAGAGTTTGTGGTTTTCATTCATCATTCTATTTAAAAAGTGTACGAAAGTGCATCTCCGGACTTAGGATTCCCCACGCTGCCCGCCGCAGGGATCATGTGACGTAGTGGCAACGAGCTCAACGATCACCATGGCCTGATTGTACATGCTCTATACTCAAAATCTACAGGCCCGGAGTATTTATCAGATTAGTTCTGTCGCTAGTTAAGCTTTATCTTTGCCCTTGATATGGAAATCATGAAAACAGCGCGTGACTATGTTCCTACAGAGGAAATATATATTTGCTACGAACGGAAATTGTGTAGATCAGAAACAGGTTATGTGTTTCATTCAGTAGATAAAGGATAGAAAGCTTCGTTACACCGTCAAGGTGACATGGAAGTAACAAAGGAGGTATAAGAAGGTATGCCCAGATTAACCGTAAAAGAATAAGAGAAAACCCATCCAACGCCGCGCAGGTCAGCTAACCCATAGATGAGCCGTAAGATTCAATGAAAGTCATTAATTGCCACCGCGGAGACGGAGGACCAAGTGGAGCGTGCTCTCCTTCTGGATGTTGTAGTCAGAGAGCGTACGCCCATCCTCCAGCTGTTTACCAGCGAAGATGAGACGCTGCTGGTCAGGTGGGATACCCTCCTTGTCTTGAATCTTCGTCTTGACGTTGTCGATTGTGTCAGAGCTCTCAACTTCCAATGTGATCGTCTTCCCAGTGAGCGTCTTAACGAAGATCTGCATACCACCACGGAGACGGAGGACGAGGTGAAGAGTGGATTCCTTTTGAATGTTGTAATCAGACAGAGTGCGACCATCCTCGAGTTGCTTTCCGGCGAAAATGAGACGTTGCTGATCCGGAGGAATACCCTCCTTGTCCTGAATCTTCGTCTTTACATTATCAATTGTATCAGAGGACTCCACCTCCAGCGTAATGGTCTTTCCAGTGAGAGTCTTGACGAAAATCTGCATACCACCACGAAGGCGGAGCACCAAGTGAAGAGTAGATTCCTTTTGAATGTTGTAGTCTGACAAAGTGCGGCCATCCTCAAGCTGCTTACCAGCGAAGATCAAGCGCTGCTGGTCAGGAGGAATACCCTCCTTATCCTGGATCTTGGTCTTCACATTGTCGATAGTGTCGCTAGACTCCACCTCGAGGGTGATAGTCTTACCAGTGAGGGTCTTGACAACTGTTGAGTCATTAGTATGCCGCTATCGCAAAGTGGCCACTCGGTGGCAAATTCCGTGAGAACTTACAGATCTGCATTCCACCGCGCAGACGGAGAACGAGGTGAAGGGTCGACTCCTTCTGAATGTTGTAGTCGGAAAGGGTGCGACCATCCTCAAGCTGCTTTCCCGCGAAAATCAGGCGCTGCTGGTCGGGAGGAATGCCCTCCTTGTCTTGGATCTTGGTCTTGACGTTGTCGATGGTATCGCTGGACTCGACCTCAAGAGTGATGGTCTTGCCGGTAACTGCAGAGAAATGGGAGTGTTAGAGGTTGCGCTCAGTGTTATTCCAGTGGCGAGGGACAGGATACTTACGGGTCTTCACGAAGATCTGCATGGTGATGACGTTGGCGATATGAGACTGTAGAAGGACTGTGTTGCGATGACGAGGGCGGAGATAGAAGAATGACGGTGAAGAAGTGGAATGGATACCAAGGCTGCTCTTGTCAAAAGAGGAGTGTAGGTGGAAGGAAGCGGTGACGCCAGGAAGAGGAAGGAGGAGAGCCTTAAGTACCTTCCGGGGGAGGAGATGAGGGGAGGCGAAGCAACTTAGTCAGTCGGCCAACGCCTCGCCGATAACGTGATGTCAAGCCACCGGATTGGCAGGGCCATTCATTAATAAGGCTCATCAAGGCCGCTCACAGGCTCCTTTGCGGCAGGCACCCGACCATGTCCCAATGAAGTTCTTTGCGGTCTTTGGTTCTGGCGCCTACCACCACATTCCGTTGCCTTCTGCCATTCGCCCGCATCCCCATTGCCAGACGCCAATCGAGCCGACACTTGTGAACGACCACAATGCTCGCAGAGGGCGAGACAAAGTTGCTTTTATTCTCTGAATGGCACTATTACTTTGTACAGGTTCTATGAGAACAGTGCTGCCTTGTTCGAATATCCCAGGTTCCCAAGATTCCAGCCACCGATGACTCAATACCTCACGACACTGCCACTAGCCGCGTTTGTTCCGGGTCTTCCCAGCCCTCTCACCTCTGTAAGCCAAGTCCTGGCATAATCTGTATTCTAGATAGGACTGGCGCTGGAGAATAAATCTCTGACCTCGCCCGAATTTACCATCCCATATGTTCGTATCCAATATCAACCTGGAGCGCAGCCCATATCTTCACCCGCCACGCCACGCCACGACGCCACCAGTCACCGAAGGCTGGACCATTCTGTTCTAACTATAGTAAAAACAGCATTCTGTAGCAAGTCCACGAAAAGGCGGCGGACCATCTGGGCGGATATCTGCGACAGAAGTGGTTCCCCGAGTGGCCATTGTCGGAATGTCCCCAGCCTGACGACGGCAATCAGGAGAAATGACGTGTGCTGAGACTCCTTATCGGCCGGAGTGGGCACTTTGGAGACTTAGTGAGGGCGCTTAGTGTGTCGTATGGGGCCTAGCGCCCATTCTGGGGATCAGGTGATCGTCGCATGCAGTTCCCCCGCTTTTCGCAATTCGCAAGCTCCCTCGGGCTGGCTGAAGCCCTTGCGTGAGGCCGGTGCGCTTGCGTGCAAGAATGCAGGGAGAGATCTTATTCAAAGTTCTGTCAAACTCGAGAACAGAGGAATGACGCACATTCGGAAGAGCTGTACACGTGGCTATCGAGTGAAGGTAGCTGAAACACGACCTGGCCGCTGCAAGGGAGGGCCTCGAAATCAGGTTTGCCCAGATGTGCAGCTGAGTTGGCTAGTGAATACTGGATTCGTCGAGCTACATGAGAGAAACCGGGCTCTGAAGTTAAACGGGATATCATCATTGAGTTTCTGCAAGAAATATACTAATCTTGAGACCGTAAAAGACCCAGCGAGAGCTCTTCTCTTGGTACTGTAAAACATTCCTCGGCTCTTTTTCGGAGTTGCTCCCGATCAGAACCACCAACATCCTATACTTAACACAAAAGTCAGAAAGCAAGAAATTAAATACAAAAAAAATTCAAAATATCCAGCATCATGAAGCGAGAGCTAGCCTCCAGCACGATTCGACAACTCAGTTGCCGCCATGATTCGCCGTGGAACAAGTTTCGTGACCGTACATATCGTGACATCGTGATTCTCATCATCGCTGTGGTAAGTACTGTGCGAGAAGAAACATCACTAAGGAGGACAAAAAGAGCGTATTTTCAAATAAATCAAACATGTGCTTCAGGCTGAACTTGCAAGACAGAAAGGGGAAAATCCAGTTCCCAAAACAAAAAAGGAAATAAGAGATTGGGTGACCGAGACAATCAAATGTAAATAGACAGAGTACGAGTTGCTTAATAACTTCACTGCAAGTCTCATAATCATAAAACGCTGGCATATCTCATTGAACTTTTCGTGTCGTTTAAGTGCCGAGCCGTAACTTATGTGCTTCAATTCTTCGTTCTAATTTGCGCGAATCACAAGCCTGGAAACGAATTTGTTGGATAGGCAGTCAAAGTCATTCCGGTTGAACTTGGAGCCTGAGCGGCCACGGAGGTAGCTCTCTGTGGAAAAAAAGAAATTAGTATGGGAAACCCAGCAACTAAAAATATAGCAGGATCGGGTGCTTACCGAATTTCTCAACATGTTGGCGAACCTCAGTCATAGTGTTGCAGACGTCGGGATTTGAGTGGAGCAAGTGATGGTGCTTCGAGGTTTCCCAATCAGAAAACGAGGGCAACTTCTGGGAGATCGCCTGGAACAAGCCAACAATGACGCCGACAGGAGTCGTCTCCATGTCAGTGCAGAATTTATCAACAGCAGCAGCGTCCTAGTCAGTAGTATTAGTATGGGCAGGACAAAATTAGAAGGTAAATAGCAGGCGAAACTTACAGGAGTGCGGTAATGAGAGTCGAACTGCATTTCCTCCCAGACAGCCAGAAGAATCGAAGCTAACATGAAAATCGTAGGCCAGTTCTTCAGCTTGTCACCACTGTAGACGCTGGAGTAGAGACTGGACAGTTCCTCCAGAACATCCTTCTGCAACTCACGCCACATGCTCGCCATGGCACACTTGATCTGGAAGTTGATCATCACGGGTGCCATCGTCTTGCCCTTAAACTTCGAGTCTTGGTCTTCGATCTTGCCCAAGAAACCCTCTTCTTCACCCAGACCCTCCACCATGGTGACGTGAAGAGTCAGGTTGTAAGCAAGAACAAGTTTCAGAGCCTTGCGAATAACGGGCATCTTTGTACGGAAATAGTATCGGAACGCGGTCTTGAGCATCTGGGTCAAGAAGGGGGTGCCCTCGAAGTAGTCATCCACAAATTTCTCAAAGGTGCCATTGCCGTCAATATGGCGATCTAGGTAGTCGGACAACATCGCATGCGAAACACCTTCCATGCCGGCGGACAATTTAGCTGTTTCGACTTCATGTTGGCTGGGTTCACGGTGCATAGATTCTACCCAGTCGATACTGAAGCACTGTTCGTTATGCACGTATACTTCGCGAGCATTGATGGGGAGGACCTGGCCATAGCCGTGTGTGATAAAAAGGGTTCTCTCCTGCTCTGAGAACCCTTTGATGTTGCCGACCGAGAAGCCAAGGGTGATATGCCGTTCATAGTCTGCCTTCCAGTCTTTCATGAAGTAGCCAATCTCCTTGATGTCAATACGAGTGCAAGGAACCTGCCATAGTCGGGCATGCGACGGTTGGCAGCCTGCACATGGTTCGCCCTTGTCACACTATATATGCTGTTAGCTGATAAATCTGATTGATTGGGTTCAGAAAGACTTACAGTCTTCTTCAAGAACTTGCAGCGGAGACAAGCTCTCAGCTTCCGAATTTCACTGGCTTGCTTTCGCTGGTCAGGCCGAAGAGGGCCCTTGCGCTTGCCCACCTTCTTCTCTGTAGAATCAGACTTGCCGTGTGACTGCTTGCGGACCTTGGTCTCGGCTGTTTTCGCCGCGATTGGGCTCTTGCGAGATGGCTTTCTGCTAGGAGGCGAGGACGAGTTCGAAGCGGAAGAGCGGCTTGGAGAAGTGTCCTTCTTTCCCGGTACTTGGATGGGTCTGACAATGGCGGCGGGGCTAATTGCAGTGGGTGATTGCGAGCCATGTGATGTGTGGTCGTAAGAAATGCGTCGGTTCACAGGACTGTTGAAAGCAGACTCGAAGTTGGTTTCCGAGCAGGGCGAATTGACGGGATTCGAGACGTCAACGAAGCTACCGTAAGACGTCGAGTATGATGATTCAGATAGACTCCTGTCATGGAGGGTCTGTGTTGGGTTGATGAAGACCTGGTCTGGGAAAGAGAACTCATGCGAATGATGAGGCTCAATCATACTCCAGCCATTGTCACTGCTTGAGCTGGTCAACGACCGAACCTCGAGATACGTATCCGTGGGTGAGCTGCTTTCAATCATGTTCTGTTGTGGTGCGGTGGTATATGAAGACACGTCGGGAAGGCCGTTGGGTTGGAATCCGAGAAGGTCCTGCTGAAGATCTTGGTACGGATATGAGACCATGTCGACTGGCGCGGCGAGCGGTAGATAAGGTCCATCCAGCAGGCTCGTGCTCATCTGACCGTGAGGCCCCGACATCAGATCAACGGGCGATGAGTGGATAGTCATGCCATAGCTTGCGGTGGTGAACTGGGGTGCGGCGGCGGCCTCATCCTGAGGATACTGAAGGTGGGGTTGTAAATGCTGAAATTGCCAGTCAACGATGAGGTTCGGATCCTGAGCCACCGGCTGTTCAAAGGAGTGACCGCTGGTTTGTAAGGGTGAGATGTCTCGCGAGGCATCTGTTCGCTGGGAGGCCTGGTGGTCCACCGCCACTGGCCATGACTGAGGCTGAATGTAGTTTCTCGAGTCGTAATCAAGTCCGATGAAACCGTCGCCGGTCAACTCGACATTGGACATTGTCACAGTATGCTATCCCCAAGGGCGGAGGACAAGAAGGTGGAAATAAGAGCGGAGGGAGACAGAATGGCGATAGGCAAAGGTGATGTCGTACAAGAGAGAAGGGGGAGCTGGAGTGAATTATGACTACGAAGCCTCAGGGAAAAGGCTCTCTCGGAGGAGCAGAAAGCCCAGAATCCGGGGGTGCGAAAGAGAAGAAGAGGGCACGGCGATAGGATGAGCCCATGGCGGGCAGAGAGCGGTGGGGAGCAAAGCAGCGGTGAAGCGGGAGGTGCGTGAGCCGGAGATACGCTAGGGGATCCTGGGAAGGAGTTATCGCTGGCCATATGGATCAAAGTGGAGCCCTGCTTGGCCTTCGAGTAAGACCGTGTTGCTGACTCTGGCGAAAGTGTTAATGCCACGCGATGGCGCTCATCGTGGCGCTTTCGTTGGCCCAAACTCGCCTTTGGCGGGCGGACGAGCACGAAACCTGCCTGTTGGAGGCTAGTGTTGGTCGCTCCGTCTAGATTACAGAAGGGCTGTGACCAGGGTTGAGGCGATGATGGGCCACTAAGGCGTCAAGCTCCCAGTCCCATGATGTCCCATCACGATCTCGAAGAAGAATGGGCTTTCGGAGGACCCTCGGGAAACTCTGACGAGAAGATTGACGCCAAAATTGGTCCATGGTGGATTGCGAGTTGCCCACAGGGTGCGCTACGGAGACGGCGCGCTCGGCTTCAGTTGAAGGTGCTGAGTGCCGACAGGGCCACAGCATCACTCTCCAAGATTCCTCCGGTGTCTCATCTCTGCATCGTGAGAATATTTCGAATGCCACCGTCAAAGCCCCCCAAGGCTTCCATATTTGAGACTTGAGCAGGAGAGCGGCTGGCAGTTGGTTCCATGGCGCTGAGCGGGCTTGCCGGGCGAGGAGACATGGAACGAAAGCCTCGGGAGAGGAAGATCAGTGGAAAATCATCGCCTCAGATCTGTTGAGGCCGGAGCGCTCATCATTGGAGCAGGCCCGCCGATCCGAGGCCGTGGCAATAGCAAGTCGCCGTCACAAAGCCTAGCCCGAACGACCCCGCCGCAGCCTCTGAAGCAACAAGGTTGTTGGCAGCACGGCCCTTGTCAACCTGCTGTGAGTGTGACAGGGCTCATCGGAGTAAATCTGGCTGTCCGAGGAATCGCTATCAATAGCCCTTACGGACGATACTCGAGGCAACTGCCGCCCGCATTTCCTCTATTTTTGTCTACGTTTACGATCCAGCCGAGCAGAGTGGAAGTGAGTTTGCGTGCTCTCGACAGCGGGGAAGCACAAGGTTGGAGCATGTATGTCGAGTAAGATACGCGTCAGTTAACGTTTACCAAGTCAGACACAGCCGATAATCACCAATTCCTCAATCAGTAGTCAATCATCACAGCACACATGTAGCCCCATTGCCAACAAGGTGGGTGATGTTGCACTAGCCCCAATCTCCATTCGCGCGCTCCTGGACGGCATCATCCGTCCGAAGCTCAGGCTCTTTTGGGCCGATTGTCGCGATGAGCGGGCAGATGATTGTGGCGAGGTAAGCGATAGCTGATGAGGAGATAAAGTATGCTCGTCTCACTATCATGCAAGAATGAGATCCTTCCGCAGCTTGTGACTGCTGGATGTAACTAAGATGCACTCGAATATTGAGACAGACTTTCTCCCCCGTTTTGCGATTGTCAATAAGCGCCGTCCTTTGTTGTGCGGCTTTGATATTCCTTAGCGCTGTCCTGGTGTAAGGGTGAAGTGGCAAAGGTCATATTCATCCTCATTAGGGTTCAGGCGCAATCAGGGATCGATTGATAGGTCATATCTCAATCAACATGCAAGGTGTAAACTATACCAACAAGCTCCTCCGGAGATTGACGCATCCCCTCGGAGCATCTCAAAGGGGTAAAAAGCCCAGTGCAGTTGGAAGCAAGATACAAGCCAAATGGAGAGTTTTCTGCAGCCGTCGAAACCTGGAGGATCCCCACCTTGGTGATGCTGGACGAATCGAGTTTCTGGCTGAGATCCTTGTCGATTCAATGGATTCTGACTCGCAGACAGTCCATCTGCAGCTGCAAGCCATGACACAACCTGTCCAACGCGTTTGATCTCTTTGTTGTCCGCGAGCTCAGATTCAAGCGGAAACACTGAGAATCGCGATCAGGCCAACGGGCGACTGCAACATCAAGGCAGAAGCGCTGTCTCATTGACGGGCTCAAGGTCGCAGTTTTCGGGACATCCTTGGTGATTGGCAGTAATAAGCGTACGACTAATAACTTTAAAATTCGACTGAGTTATGCAAGCCATCCCAGCTGTCAAGTTAGTTGTTTGTTGGCAGCAAATAGACTACCGGTTAAACTCGCACTCGCATTGAGCAGCGAGATTATCGAACTCTCGACGAGAGCGATGAGGAAGGATGAGGAATGCCAGCCATTATTACAAAGGGGCAAAGTTTGACGGGGAACAAGCTCCATCAAAGTCAGATCCCGGTGCTGGCATCTCAGGCGCCTGTGACAAGGCATGGAGGGCTGTGCGATTGTCATTGTGAACGGGGCTGGGAGATGGAACGTCAGCTGTATCCAATTCCAGGAGGGGAAGCGCTGATCTTTGCTGCATTCGTTCGGCTGAGCTGGGCATCACGGGACCTGTCATCATTGCGGCGGAACGTGAGAACGAGCAAAGCCAAACATCGTCTTGCGAAACTCAAAGACTTAGTCACCAGATATTTAGATAGTTAATAATCTATGAGAGCTCCATGTTTCACAGTAGTCTTCACGATTCCCCGGCTCGCAGTATGTGAGAGGCATGGAATTGCGGGACAAGGTGGTCTTGCGCACTTGGCTGGTTCGCCTGGCTGAGGGGCGGTTGACGATTTGGGCAGCGGGAGAGAACAATGCTCTCCACGTCCATTAAAGCAGCAGAACAGACAATACCTACAGCCTTCTACAATAATACCACTAATGATGTCCTTGAGTGGCGGCTTAATGAGGAATTAAACCAGCGCTTCTATACCTACATCTCTTAACTCCATTCAGTCCATGCCTGTCGTTGCTGCTACGGGGAAACAGCGTCGAAAGGTTCGATTCCCAGCAACCAGCCACGCGGCTCAGATAGAGAGGCCGCTGTCGAAAAGAACACAAACCAATCTACCGACGAGTAGGAGTTCCCCTCTAGTTGCCGCCCCCAAGCACTTTCCATCGCCAAAACAGAGAGGCAGAATGGCGGAACCACATCCCGCTCTCCCAGCTCTCTTTTCAGAGCCGCCTGTGGTCCGTGACAAGCTCATCACCGAAACAACTGAGCAACAGGACGAGACCGTCAAAAAATGCCTGGAATTCTTAGCAGGATCCCACAGCAGTCAAAAGGGCCCATTGAATCGCCACGGCGTGTCTCCGCTCTTGCGGGATGAGCACATTGGCTACCTGTACGATTCTTTAGAGGACTATCCTCCTGGTTTTGTTGCAATGGATGCTAGTCGGCCTTGGATGATCTATTGGGCGCTCGCAGGCCTGAGCCTTCTATCAGAAGATGTCACTAAATACCGTGAACGGTAAGCAACTGCTCGGTTTGAATTTCAATGTTGCGCTTGCTTGCAGGTATCACCTTGCTTATATGGCGGCGAGCTGGGTTCAAACCTTCCAACACCGCTCCTTGATTTGAGTTTGTTTCTAAACAGTTTTCCCTCTTCCCAGTGCAATCGCTACTATAACTCCCATGCAAACCCCCACCGGTGGGTTTGGAGGGGGCCATGGCCAAATATCACATTGCGCATCAAGTTATGCTGCAGTATTGTCTTTAGCTATGGTTGGTGGTGAAGACGCATTAAATCTCGTTGACCGCCAAGCAATGTGAGATATGACACCGGCCCTGAAAGGGGATCCAAGCGTTCTAACAGCGATATAGGTGGGAATGGCTGGGAAACCTAAAGCAGCCAGATGGAGGCATCACAGTTTTCGACGGTGGGGAAGAAGACGTGCGGTAATCTTGCCTCTTCCATCTTCTTGTGCGCCGGGCTCATTTGGCTAAATGCATGATTAGAGGCGCCTACTGCGCGATGGTGATTATCTCGCTCCTGAACTTGCCACTCACTTTGCCCCGTGAGGCCAAAGCCCGAGAGTATGGCTTGCAGACATTCACAGACGGCCTCTTAGAATACCTCTCTCGATGTAGGTTTGGTCCACTCCTTACTCGACGATTGCAACTAATAAATGTCTCAGGCCAAACTTTCGAGGGTGGAATCTCCGGAAGTCCAGGCTCGGAAGCGCATGGCGCCTACGCATTTTGTGCATTGGCGTGCCTATGTATCCTTGGCCCACCGGAAGAGACTATACCTCAGTAAGATAGCTCGCCCTTCAAGGGGTAGCAGTGTGCTGACTGATGAAATAGATGTATGGATGTGCCAGCACTCCTAGCTTGGCTTTCGGCTAGGCAGTATGCGCCTGAAGGAGGGTTTGCTGGCAGAACCAATAAGCTGGTCGACGGATGTTATAGTCACTGGGTTGGGAGCTGCTGGCCACTCATTCAAGCTGCATTAGATGGAGCACAGGATGCTGGAGGTCGCCCACGATCTGCTGTTGGTAATCTTTATAGCCGAGAAGGCCTGACGAGATATATTCTCGGTTGTTGTCAGTCGAAGAATGGCGGGCTTCGCGACAAACCCGGAAAGTAGGTTGAAAGTTTGGCGTGATTATGACATGACACCGTTTATATTATGCGGATGCTGACTTGTCAAACCTGAAGACACCCAGATTCATACCACACATGCTACACTTTGACCGGCCTCAGCTCCGTTCAACATTATCACTATCATACTGACTCAAGCGACATCTCTGGCGAACAATTCTCGTCGGCATTTTCATGGAGATATCGCCCTGCTCGAGACTCAAATGACGGAGATTCCGATGTCAGCGTATTCGATGAAAAGGATCGCTTGACAGCTTTCCACCCCCTATACGTTATTCCTCACAAGGCTGCGGAAAACATGCGTCTCTGGTATGAACAGAAACCTCTGGATTGAAACATGGGGAGTAGGAGACACTTGAACACGACGAAAAATCAGGCACATGAAGGGATGGACTACAAAATTGTCCATTAGTTGGATGTGATAAAATTTCCGACTCCAAATTTCTTTTCATATACTCTGTACAGTAACTCACGGAAGTAAGCATTAACAGCCCTTTGTGTCTTTTATGTCATGCAGGCAATGCTGCCTAGTGCTATTATTATTTGAGTATGACAAAAGCCACGCGAAATGAGGTAACAGACCTGGATGCTAAAGCAAGGGACGG